GTAGATTTGCCCTTTTTTTTCTAGAAATATAAAAACTCGAAAAAGAAGGGCTTACATTTTTGAGTTCCATAAAAGTTGGGTTTGGGAAGTTAAAATTTAAAACTCTGTTCTCCGAAAAAATTTTTGCTGAGTACTGTCATATCTGGACAAAGTACTGTCACAAAGATTTCTTTCGCTTTCCTTTTTCCAATTTTCAAAGGGGGGGGGGGAGGAATGAATGCTTGTTTGTTATTGCTAATAAATGAGATAGGGGAACGAACACTTTAATTAGGCACCGCCTCTGCGAACTGCTGGTCCTTTCGCCTTACTGTGTGCATCGTATTAGGACCAGTAGTCCGCGAGGGCGGGGCCTAACTGCGGTTTTCATTCCTTCACCCCTAATAAACGTATTCAAGCGGAATTTGTCCTGAGAGGGGGGGGGAATTGGGAGAGGTGAGGAGAATTTCTAAGGGTAGTGCAACGTCACATTTTTTGCGGCACTTTATGCATTTTAATTTGTAATGCTCAGGTTTCCAGATCCTTGAATTTTCCTCAATTTTTTCTGAAAAATTTAGAAGACTATTTTGACTGAATTTTTCGTGTTCTATTACTTTTCCCTCATAAAATGACTGAGCAATCACGATTGATTGACAGAAGGGGAGAAATTTTCCTGTCGCGTAGTACGTTTTTTTCTCTTAACTACGAAACATCTGCACGCATGAATGATTACTAGCGCCTTCCGTCGTTCCGATATCAATCTCTGCACAGAGGCGAAAGGAGAATTTTAACGTTCGCCGACATGTGTTCGTGGAGTTTTCGCGCGTGTGCTGCCAAGCTGCTGCCAAAAATCTCATAGAGACATTCTAGCCCCCCCCCCCCCTCATTGCACCTGTCTGAAACGTACTCTTTCCACTAGCCGTGGGGCATTGTGTAATTCGCACCACCTTCCTCACCTCATCCCCGGCGTGTGCTCTTCCCGTGATCGCTCTAACGGGGGATATACGACACCGCATAGTCATAACAGCTAAGTGCTTCGTATTCCACACGGCTTTAGTCGGTTTCAGCCCCACCTCCCCAACCAGCTCAGAAAATTCCCCAGCTTTACCCATATGATGTCCCTGCAACTGTTACTCGCTGAATTTGGTCACCCTATGAAACTTGTCATAGGTGACGAACTATTCGAAAACGCTGCAAAGAAAGCTAGTAAGTTTCTTGACCCATTATAGTCAACGATTGGTATAGTGCACCTGCGGTGACAACAACATTTGCGCGCGAATATTTGCCATGTTTCTATATGCCGCTTGTGACCTGCTTGTAAGAAAATAGCCGCAGCGCGCACCTTGTCGTTGTCTACGCGCAAATGTTGTCAGCAATGTAAGAACACTGTATTCTCCCGTAGGCACTTTTTACCCCCCCCCCCCCCCTCCGCCTCCAAATTTCTCCGCAGCGCCAGTACGCTGCAGATACAGCTTTTTAGGCCATTTATGCGCTTCCCAATCCCATATCCTAGCACAATGTCAAGTAATTGCCTTCGAAATAAGATTGAAGCGGAAGAGAGAGAAGCCGATACGGAAAAAGGGGGCGGCGGAGGGGGGGGGGTGGACACTCTGATGCAGTTAGTGCTTTTGCAAGAGCCATTTGACAAAATATCTGAACTTTTTTTGCCATGCCCTCCCCCCCCCCCCCTTTCCTCCTCTAAACGTTCCTTTTCATTTATTCATCGCTTGTACAGTTAAAATGTAACTCATTTCCTAAATAATCAAACTATTGAAGAAAAATCGATCTCTATACTTAAGCTCAGGATTTTGTTGTCTTGGCAATGTTCCAAATTTCCTTGGTGGGGTCGAAATTTCCAAACTCGAAAAGGTAATCTAAATCCGCTATCTCTGGAATTCAAAGCTAAACTATGGTATAATTATAATTTTTCCATAAATAAAGGGGTAGTTCAAGCAGGAGAGGGGGAGAGGAGAAATAGTAAAATTTTTCAAAATTCTAACAAAAATCCTCCTCGCCAAAACCGGACTAACCACTTTCACTTGTTGTTACCCGGTCTTTCTAGACTTACCGTAATATTTATAACCCTAGTAAGTGGATATCAGATCCTCTCTTTACCTACACTCTTTATCGCTTTCTCTTCCCCCCCCCCCTCCCCCTTAGTTTTCCCACACACCACTTTCATTGACAATGACTGAAATTCTTTTCCTACCTATTATCTCTGAGCAATTGCTTGTCTATCAAATTTCAAAAATTTTCTTTTCATTTTTCTCTTTTTTCTCGACCTCACCTCCTTCCCACTATTACACAGTCCTTAAAAGCACAAGTAACCGTTTATTGTGCAATAGAAGTTTTTTTCTACTTGTCGTCACTTTCTTAATCACCTTTATATCATCCCAAATATTCAAAAATTAGCTAAGCTTGCGGGGGTCGCTAGCGCTTAGCGAATCTCGTACGCGAGGGGAAAAGAATGCGCGTCAGACTCTCACACTCACTGTCGCCCTTCATATTTGTTTTCCATGAGTCTTGACAGTGTCTCTCCATCGTGTCTCAATGTGAGCGTTTTGTCCGGATCCGGTTCGGGGGCACAGTTGTGTCCAGGAAAAATTCAACAAAATTTGCAAGATTCGTTCGTAGTCCCGACAAAACCTTATGCGCACAACTTTTTCAACATTTCCCAATGTTTCCTCGTTTTCCTCTCCATTGAAGATGTGTCTTGCTATGATTGTGTTTGAGTTCAGGCTCTCGGCTCCTAACCTAACCGGTCTAACCGCGCTTTCCTCTATGACCGGATGTGCTCTGACAATCAAATCTTTGTTGCAATGAGTACACCTCCGGGTGTTTTTACCCACTTTGGGAACATTCCCGATGCTCGTGATTTGGCTCCCTTTTAAAAGTTTGCATTCCAAGGCGGTTTTACGCAATTCAAGGAAATTGTTTACTGAAGCTAAATGGGTTTTCGTCTGGCTATTAGCCAGCCCAGTCTTCCACTGGAAATTCTTTAAAACTCTTTCCCTTCCGCTTCGAGCTCTTTGATATCTCCCAAATCCTCCCTTGCCTCCATTTATCGGTTACCTTCTAGTTTCTTTTTGAGCTTGCGCTAGTTTCTCCAAACAAGGAATAAGCAAGGAGCATCTTAAAAAGCGCAACAAATCATTGGACAGATTTTTTATGTCATATGTTCACTGATAAGCAAAAATATGCAATCTATCTCGGCATAAAGTTTAGAAATTTTTGTCGTATCGTTATAAGAAATTTCTTCGCCTTATAAAAACATGGGATTTTTACTTGTTCAGATTGCATTGATTTAAAAAAAACTTAAACCTTTTCCAATTTTTGTGTCATTGTCCCCCTATTCGTACCTTTGAGCAAATAATTGTTGTATCACTTTATTTTAGTGATTTTTTCAAGACTGGCCTTTTATTCTTTTTCTGGAACGCTTTTTGATTTTGACTCTCCCAAAAAACCCTTAAATCTACAAGCTCGTCAAAAATCATTGATAAAAATTTAATTCCCTACATTTTCGTCTCTGCTGCATCTTTTTGGAAACATATCACCCAGAAACTTTCTAATTAGCACATCTTCACAGTTTCTGCTTTGCGAAGAGTTGACACATCTCGTCCGCGTGCGAGCGAATAGCGCTTCTTGGCACTCGCCAACATGCCGTCGATAGCTCAGTTGGTAGAGCGGAGGACTGTAGAGTCGCAGCTATCCTTAGGTCGCTGGTTCGAATCCGGCTCGACGGATTTCTTTTGCATTTGAGGTTTTGACAATCTTAATGGGGATTTTCAATTTGCATGCCAATTTCTGCATTTATTTATGAATTTAATGTGGAAAGAACATTTTTAGAAGGCAAAAACTTTTTTTGAATCAGAAAAGCTTTGCAAACTTATTTCTTGTACCTTTGAAAGCAAGCAAAGAGCTTTGCTGCTTTAGTGTTCTATTCTGCATTTCAAAATTCAGTGAAAATAATTCATTGCTCTCTTTGTAAATTTCAAGTTTTATTTTTCACTGAACTACTTCCAGAAAATTCCAATAGTTCAAAGATTTTATTCAATGCAAAAAAGTAGTTCCATTCCCTTAACCAAACCCATCCACCCATACCCAGTAAAGTTATCGCACTTCTCACATTAATTACCCCTTATGCGGAGATCTCATACATTTGATCCGCGACGAGAATGACTAGACAGGTGTCACACAGCCAGTAAATTAGACCATCGCGACTAGTTATATATAAACAATCCACTTTTCCCTAACCCAAGAAAACTCGTCCATTTCGCCACAACTTTCTCGCTCTAATCTCTTCTATTTCGGGTGCGCTTCATGCAAATTCCTATTAGAGAAATTCCTAAGCTGCTTTTCATTTCTTTCTCTCTTCCCCCCCCCTCGTAGTTGATTTTCCTGTGCAGGAAATGCCGCAAGGGCTCCTACGTTCCAGCTCACATTCTCCGCTCAAGGCTGTTTGCACTTCGGACTATCTTCCAGTCTCTCTCGTCGTCTTCGGGGGGCCTTCTCATTTCCATTCCGATTCCGCGTCTCATTGCTATATTGGCTACTAGGCTACTACTATTCATACAGTTCGTGAATGGTTCTAATTTTGTTCGATTAGAGCGCGTTTTTCACAAAGTGCCAGAAATTTGTCCACTTACCCATTTATTCATCATTCTACCAATCATTTTCATTTCTAGCAATCAGAAATTTAAATCGTTTGAATACCTAAATCATAAAAGCTTAAATAATGTTGCTCGATGATTTTTTTTCTTTTTTTGTTTCACTTTTGCAAAGGTTGGATTTATATCCTTCGCTAATGAGTTCAATAAAAAAAAATTCAAAAAACAAAAGTTTGAAAAAGAAAGGCTTAAACTGGGCAAATCATTCAACAAATTCACTCTTGCTGTCCTTCACCTAGTCGCAACTTCATATTTTTTTCGATTTTTCCTTCCTCAAAAAATCCCATTTTCCACAACCATCTCCTTCTATTTCCTACCAAATTTTTCCTGTTCCAAGAAATCACCCATTTTTTTCAGATGTATCCGGAGAAGAACTGAATAAATTTGTGCTGCTTTTACTTGGTTGTGCAGTACAAAGTGATAAGAAGAAAACATTTGTAAGTAGAATTACACGGCTTGAAAAGCGTCTCCAGCAAGGAATCGCCAAGGAAATTCAAAAGGTGAGTGGGTTCTTTTTTCTGTGAGTTCCTCAAATTTACATTTGCGTGAAATTCTAGAAGGTTTGGATTGTAAATATAAAGAAATGCTTATCGAATTTCACTAGATGTGCAAAAAATGAGCTGTCGTGCTTTTTATGTTGATTGCAAGGCTTTAAAAACTCTTCCTATCGAATTTTCAACGGCATTTTTATTTTTTTCAGACTTTTATCCGAGAAAATGGGAATTTCTCACGAGTAAGAAAGGGTATGATGGTAGATAAAAAAGACTGGATAAGAAGTACCAAAAGGAATTTTAGATTACTCCTAGAAAGGCAGTTACTATTTCAATTTTTATAAATTTTATTTTGAACTGGGTTCAAATAAGAACAACTTATACAATCATATTTTTGATTGAGAGAGAATTAATAGAAAAATATCAGTAAATAAACTAAATTCAGCTGGAACTACTAGTCCTTTCCAATTTTGAAAGTACAAACTTAAACACAAAAAAGAAATTTTCATGAGTTTTCATTCTACTATATCTTCAAAGGTAATGCTACCAGTCATATGAAATTCTTTTATTGAGTCTTCCATGAATTTTGAAAAATTTCATGCGTCTACGGGGATATTTTTTGTTAAAAATTTCCCTTTATATTAATTTTATTTTTCAATCATGATTACCTCATTCGTAATGCTGAAGTTTGTTGGAACAAAATTTTCTACCTTTGAGCTGTGAACACTTGTGAATAACAATATTGTGTAAATTTTTCATTCTAACGAATTGTTGGTGTAAATGTATAAATGAATAAATAAGAAAAAACAATTGAGTAATCAATTAAATAAGAACATTTGAACTAGTTTACTACTATTATGCATCATACTTGTATTTGTTCGTTATTTTGCTGTTTTTTGGTCATTCAAATTATTTACTTACTCGTCCATTCGCTCAAGTAAGCTTAACAGCCACACCTCGACAGAACAAGAAGAAGAAGACAACTGACAAAACTTGTTCTCGAAAGCGAGAACAACTTCCGCTGCGAGAAAAAACCTCACGCAAACCTCGCATGTTCGAATGCTAGCAGATTAGACATGCGCGGGTAAATAAGTAAACAAACAAGCAAATAACTTGAAGCTTGGCTTTGTTTATTTTGTCTCTGTCGCGTCATCAGACTCGTTTTTGAACGAATCAGTTTGATAGCGATGTTGTCATTTTTGAAGCTGTAGTTAGCACTATTTACTAAACTCAAGCGCGTTCTTCAAAATTTTCGTTGCTTTTAAAAGTCAATTTTCAGTTTGAAAAATTATCTAAGGAATTATTGCTGTTACTCTTCGGTTACTCATACATTACTGCTCACTTCAGCAACCTTCTTAAAAATCTCATTATTCTATCTCAATAATCTCAAGAAAAGACAGAAATGACGTCCAATGATTTCATAGCAAATATCCATCTGGAAATTTTTTTTAGATAATTTTCTCACTCTCTCAAACGCAGTAGAAATTCTCAAAGTTCTACATTGAAGTGATTAACTTTCTTCCATAAAACTCAACCATAGAATTTTAAACAATTATCGAATGAGTAAGTGACTGTAAGAGTAAATGAACCGGTGATGAAACGGTATATTTGAGAATAGAATGTGAATGAACGGTTGAGGACGAAGACGAATGACAGTTAAATGAATATATAAAAAAAAACGAAATTTACGATCTATAAGCCCAAAACAATTTCATTGCTGTAAAATGTGAAAATTTTCGTGAAAAAAATTCAATTATAAATTTTTTCTTTCTTGAAAACACAGATTTCTTTGAAATTTCTTCGATTTTCTCACGTCATAAAAAAACTTTTCAAATGTTTTTCCAATTTTTCATAAAAAATATGAGTACTTAACCATTCATCAAGATTCTTACGTCTTTTATCATGTTAATTTTTTTTCGTGAACTTCATATGATTGTGAATTCAGCTTATTTGTTTTTCTTCAAAGTTATTTCAATTTTGACAATTTATGAGCTTTCTTTTGGAGATTTCAATCGTTACATAATACATGCTTAATTACTATAAATATAGCAAATTGGGGAACATTTGATAATTCCAGATCTCAACCACATTATCTCTTTTTAAGTAAAGATTTTCTAACTTTTTGAAAAAATTCTTGATTGTCTTTACAGTTGGTTCTTTGAAAAAATGTCTTTTTTATAATATTGTTCCACATCGTCGTAAATTTTATATTATGGTGAAATAATTTTCTAAAAATTTCCTATGCAATTATGAAGTTGGAAATTTGTTCATCTCACGAAATTCATTCGTTTTTGCAAAAATATATCTGTTTATTTCTACCAAAATTTTTTTTTCAATTCTCGCCCCATTTCAGATCACTGAAACCTCATCGGTAGTGTTGAGCATAGACGCTTTAGCCCGATACGACGGTACCGTCATAGATCATATCGAGAAACTCGTCGAACAACGAGACGCCTACGCTCAAACACTTTCACACATGGCTGATACGGTAAGTGCCCTTTTTGGAACAGTTGTCCGCAAGCATCTGAGGAATTCGCTATCAAGAACTTTTTAAGGAAAGCGACGGTGGAGGAAGCTCAACGGAGAGCTCTTCGGTAAACGGTGAAATCGACCATAGGCGGCGAGTGGAAAAGCGGCTTAGTGAGTTTTTTTCTCGCCGACCCACTGGGCATTTCCCACTCGTCAAAGTTCTTCACGGGAGATTTTCTAGATTTTTAAGTCAGGAATTTTGTGTTGAGCAGGTTTTGAAGAAAAAATGCTGCTCGATTCTTGCTTGCGTCATTAGTTTCTAAATAGGGATATTTTCAAACTGATTTGAGAGAGGTTTGCAGATGAAATAAAATGACAGATATTCTGATGTTCATGATAGCAAAAATTCACTAAATCTAGATGTATTGGACTCTTTTGAAAATTCTAATCAGCAGATTCTATCTCATCCAACCCCAAAGTTGTTATAGAAAACCCCATCTGTATGTGAGCTTGTTCAATCTCCCCGTTTTGTAATTTTACTTTAATGTTGTTGAATTTTCATGGTTTTTGATTCCCCTTATTCCTGGTTTTTCTTGTACTTCCTGATCCAATTTCAACCAAAATTTTTAGTATTTTTATCACACTAGAATCCTGAAGTCATTCAAATGTGATCATCAGCTTCTTTCCCCGAATTCTGATTATCTCTTCATTCTTTTCATTCTCATTCTCCCCAGTCAACCTCTTCTTCATTTTATTCCGCTCAGTCTTTTTTCATTCTCGCCGATCGCAAAGTTCAAAATTCCCCTGAATCTATCTTCTTCTTATCCCGTTTTATTTCTCTGTACAATCATTTTTATAGATATTTCGCATCTTCCATATCTCAATTCATTCACCTATTAACCCAGTCATTCATTTATTAGGTTGTCAAGAAAATAATGTCGTTTTTTAATTGCTTGCTTTAACAAAGCAACCAGACTCAACCCAACAAAGGGTAATAGGCACTGTTCGATAAAGCAAAGCAAGCTCTACAAGATGGCCTTCATGATTTTGCGCCAAGCTCGGTCCACGGAAAGTTCGAACTCAAAATCTGAAGATTTCCAAATGACCAAAAAATCGAAAAAAATCAGATCTTCGTCCAAATAATTTCTACAAACCTCCCCTCGCGCTCATCAGTACTTCCGATATGTGATACTTATATGTGCAGTTGCTGTATTTTTTCCTTGACTAGAAATTGAGAAAACGAAGATTTTCGTGTTTTTCTTAAAGAAATGCTGAGCCGTTCTTGCATGTGTGGTTCTATACTACAAGCCTAGTTGAATATAACTGTAAATTTTCAGCCCATTTTAAGCGGTAGTTTTCGAGAAATTCCTCTTTTAGCACTGAAACTGAAAAGAAAAAAGCTGATTTCGCTATCTCTCGAAAACTACCGCTCGGAATGGGCTGAAAATCTACAGTTATACTTAACTAGGCTTGTAGTATAGAATCACACATACAAGAACGGCTCAGCATTGCTTTTAGAAAAACACGAAAATCTTCGTTTTCTCAGTTTCTAGTCAAGGAAAAAATACAGCAACTGCATATATGGGTATCACATATCGGAAGTATTGATGTGCGCGAGGGGAGGTTCGTAGAAATTATTTGGACAAAGATCTGATTTTTTTCGATTTTTTGGGCATTTGGAAATTTTTAGATTTTGAGTTCGAACTCTCCGTGGATCAAGCTTGGCGCAAAAACATGAAAAACATCTTGTAGAGCTTGCTTTGCTCTATCGAACAGTACCTATTACCCTTTGTTGGGTTGAGTCTAGTTGCTTTGTTAAAGCAAGCAAATAAAGAACGACATTATTTTCTTGACAACCTAATATTTTTCAATGCTTATTTATTCAAAAATTATTTTTTGCGAATTCAACCGTTTACTGCTTATGACTCATTGTCAATCATTTTTTTGTTTATTTGATTTTACAAACAAAAATTAAGCACTCACTTCTTATTGTTTTACGCTCCTACGTAAGTATGTATCATCCTTTCGACCACAAATCATTATTTGAAAATATTCAAATCTGTTTGAAAAATTCACCAATTTTTGTTAATCCGTCACAGAAAAGTCATTTTTTTGGTGATCAAACTTTATTTAAACCATCTCATGAAATTTGGATTAGTGTATTACAGAACTTCAGCATTCTAGCACTGTTTATCACCATTTTCTAGGAAGAACACCCTCACCTCCATTTTTGGATCGACATGCTACCGTAGAACTCAGTGCAAAGAATGCAGAACTGCGTAAACTGCGCAAAGAAACGTAAGTATCAACTCTAATACCATAAATAGTTTATCCTCCAATCTTACAACACCCCTCTTACAGCGAGGACAAAGATGATCGAATAAACGAACTCACTGATGAATTGGAAGCTTCGGAAGCGGAGGCGAGTTTTTTTTTCGAGATAACTCGTCCAAATCAAACCATATCAGGATCATAACAATGATCTTTATTGTTTTGGTCAGCAAAGCATGAGCTTGTGTTTTAGGTGAGGAAGCTGAAAGATGAACGGATTGAGTTGGTGAAAGATGCCAGAGCCGCTAAAAATCTTCGGGACGAATTGGACTGTGTCCAGCAAAAGGTTCATTATTTTGGTTTTCTTTTTCCTCCTTTTTTTCTCCTCAGTTCAAGAGGTTAAACGTCTCAGATTTTTGATGGATGGAGTTCATGAGTATCATCGAGTTTGGTTCATGCATATCATAATATCCACCGTAATCCTACAGTAAGACGGATAAACGCAATGGTATTTTTTAGCAAACCAAATGAGATTGAAAAAAAAACTACTTGAACTTCACTTACTTCATGAATCATACTTTCATTTCATAATAGATGTTATCGGCTCAATAACTTACTTTCCCGCTCTACAATAAGCCTACCGTACCTTGACACTAAGGCTGCACAATGACAATAGTGTTTTTTGAACAAATTGCGACAATGGGAAAATTCGATCTCAGATTTATATCAATAAGCAACTATTATAGCTGATTTGCATAATGTTGAACCGTTTGATTACGGTCTATATACGGTATATATGGTAGATTCTGATTCGCAAACTGACAAAAGCTCGCCTCTATGATCTAATCAATAAATTATTGGTTGCCCTCCCAAATTACGGTAGGCATAAGGTAACGTATTAGATCCTGTGATTTGCAAACCAGCATAAAATGCTTATATGCTTTACATCTATCCATTGTGCCCTTTATTCTGAGTCACTGAATGTTTTATTATTCCTAAACTACTGTAGATATACGGTAATGTCTATGTAGACTTTATGATTTGTAAATCGACTAACATGCTCCCATGCTCTAGGGTAGTCATGAAAACGTTCCTAGTTAGGGTTTTAGTACGTAGTATTATGGTAGGTGTACGGTACATGCACGTAGATCTTATCGTCCGCAAATTGACCCAAAATTTCGTATTCGAAAATTAATCACAAAAAGTTTTTTTTCTATTTTCCAGTGGATAATTTGGTGCTTTTAGATTACGGTAATCATACTCTATAATAAAGCGCAGGGGGAACCATGTGACTCATGCGTTTGTCGCTATGTCTCGAATGCACCCAATGCACCCAGGATGTCTGCCTTCCGAGATGTTGACTGGAACGCCCTTTCGTGCTCAACTCCATAAACAGTATTATCGATTAGCATTATTGTCACCAAGTAACAGCTCGCCTCATTTCAATTAGCGCATTAGGATATGTCAACCTTGATATCAGTTTATTTTAGTTGCCAATTTCTATAACTTAATTGTACAAAAGCACTGCTTTACAAAGTTGTAAGTGGTGCAGCAGAAATCCCAGATGTGATTTTCCCTCATGAAAGTTCTCGATTTTGATACACCACCAGCCGTATTTTTAGTATTTGTTCAACATTTCATATTGTGAGCAAAATAGTGGGATTCTGGCCGCACTGTAACTAAAGGGAGTGTGACAGGCTAGAAAGGCTTTCAAGGAAGGAAAATGGGGGAAAATTGAAATATGGCAGATGAAGTTTCGTGAATGGAAGTTAAGTCGTAAGCTCTTACATAAAGAGTCTGAGGAAAGGAGGCGGGGTAGGATGGAATTTTACTTATTGACTTTGAGGTTAAGCGTAGAATCCCATAGTAGAAATCGAACTTTATTCGAAAACTTGGTAAAGGATGTTTGAGCAGTAGGTGCGATTTGAGAGGGAAGAAGAGGAAAATGCGGTCTCTCCTCATGAGAATTACCGCAGGTGGAGCTTTTGATAGAGTAGAGTAGCCTGCACCTTAGCCAGCAAATTCTGTGTGGTACTGTATAAAAAGCTGAATTTTGGCGAAAAGCGTAGGCATACTTTCGATAAGCAACTTTGAGGTTATGCATTGTGATGGCAGCGTCAGCAGAAGGAGAATTCGAAGAGTAGGACAATAATCGCAAAAATATTCAAAGAGTTTCTACTTAGAAAAAGTTTTAGAAGATAATAAGTTTTTCTTCTAGAAAACTCTATTGGAAACTGTTTAATTATTTCGTTCGTAATCTTCCCCCTCTATTCTCCGTAGGTAGGTAACTAATGGGGAAGAGGCTGGGGGCAGGGAAAGAGAAAAGCAAAATCCGCTCAAAACTTCAAACGCAGGAAAATTGCACACATGAAAGTGATATTTACGTTGTTCTGTACCAGTAGGGTGCGGGGAGCTGGGGAGAGGGGAGGAAGGGGGAGGGGGAGGGAGGAGAGAGGAATGTACTTGGCATGAACAGAAAAAGCCTGGAGTGGAGTCAAGCAAGTTAGTGCCACGCTTCCGGAAAAATTCTAGCATTAAGAGGATTTTGATGAAGCTAACGCAGCATGTGGCGTGCAGCTATTTGAGTCCAAGTCTGTTAAGGACTGTTGGAGTTTCAAATGAGCTTAAGAGCTAGGGGCTAACTTACCACTCTTCAGTGCTTTCTACATAAAAATTTTGCGTGCCTGAAAGGCATTATGCTACATGGGGTTTGTATTCTGTACCAGTAGGGTGCGGGGGGTTGGGAGGGGCCGGGGGGGGGGGGATGGGACGAGGGTAGGGGTGGGGAAGAGAGGGAGAGGAAGGTACTATGACACGGATATAAAAGCCCTGGAGTGAATTCAAGCATTTAGTGGCACCTAATCCGAGTTAAGAAGATTGTAGTGAAGCTAAGGTAGCATGTGGCATGGAGTTATTTGAGTTGTTGAAGAGCTAGAGAGCTAGAAAGTAACTTACTACTACTCTCTACACGTATATACCTAAAGTTTGTATGCTATACTTTTGGCTACGAAAAGATTTGAAGACAAAACTTCACAAGTTCTAGCCTATGAACACTTCTCACTCCACACGCACAGCCAGTTCAAAGCGCCGCGAAGCGGCGCTTTGAACTGGTTATATAATAAAGGATATGGTAGAATGCTATGATGCACTGGCTGCTGCTCGCATATTCCAAGATTTCGCAATAATATAGTTTTTGGTTTAACGGAGGGTTTGTTCCGAGAAACAGGTATACGATAAGTATACGGTAAAGGCTTTAGCTCATTGCTTATCGAATAAAGGTTTTCTTTGAGTCATTGGATGTCTTAGCATTAATAGCTTATGGTAAATATACGGTACGACTGCTTAGACATTGTAATTTGTAGATTGACCCAACATATCCGAATTCGTAGTTCTAATCAGCAAAACTATTTCCTAAGACACGGTGCCTGTGTTCTTGATTACGGTAGATATAAGGTAAAGCTTACGGCATCTGCTGCGTTTTGCTTTATCTCAAAGTTACTTCATGGGAAAAGTTTTTTTTGAAGTCATTAAAAGTCATTCACCTTCCCTTTTCAGTTGGATCGTCTCGAAAAACTTGAACGTGAAAATTCTCACCTACATGAGAAATTGTCGAAATTGGAATATGTTCAGTCTCAGTTAGAGGTATGTCAATCATTTTGCTTTTATATATTCCCTAGCTGTTTGATTTGTCTCTTACAACCGGTGTGTGCCACCTTGAAAGGGACGATTATGAACTGTAAAGTCGACAAAAAGTCCACGCACTTCACCTTCGATGCGCCTCCGTATCCTGCGCCATTTTCAGCATCAACGAGCCGATAATGCTACTTTGGAAATGTCCATTGAGCAATTGGAAAGTGAGCTGGAAGTGCTTCGACAAGAAAAGAAGGTAATCCTCCAGCAAACTGTGCATTTGCGGATTTTACGCAAACTTCCACGCTAAAATACCATGCAAAAAGCCTATTTTAGACTCAGAACGAAACTCAGTCACGACTAAATGAGGCTCAACAGAGTATGCGATGTTTACAGACTGATATCAGCGAGGTAAAGTGCTATGGATGCATATTGATCGTTTTGAGACCCCCATTGAATCTTTGCAGAAAAACTCAAAAATTGAAGAGTTACTCGTAGAGCAGTCGCGTCTCGAAGGAGAGCTGATGTGCTTGAATGGGAAGATTCTCGAGATGGAAAGGTAATTTTAGATTATAAAAACTACAATTTTTAGAGTAAAAACAATGTTTGAGAGCTTTGTGACACTATCGCCTTCCTATTTAACAATGTGATTACAAAATATTTTTACAAAAGAGTAAGGCGATCAAATCTGTTAGAACTTTGAAATTCATCGTTAATAATCTGATTAGATTTTCAATTTGTTCTAGCATGAATTCCGATTTATAATTATGAGAGTTGCCTCAACTTATATCATTTTAACCCCCTCCCCCCTCTGCACCGAAATTTTATACGCCAACTGTACTTCTGATACATAAAACAAAAAGTTTTTCCCAACAAAATTTGATAAATTGAAAAATTATGATGGTTGTAGAATGTGAGACCGGTAGAAGTGTGAGACCGGATTTGTGAGTGGAGATAAAAATGAAGGGCGGACAATCGGTAGTCGAAATTAGCATTCGAATGGTCTAAAAATTTGATATAGTGGGGAAAAAACTCTTTAAAATAACCACCTGAAAGAAAATGAGAAAAGAAATAGACACAACAAATATGTAAACCACTAGGAATAATAAAAAAGGAACTTCCGTCGGTTTGTAAAATCTAAAAAATGAGCAGCAATTATCCGAACAGACAGCAAATTTGATAATGTCATGGCTAAACCCATTTTTGCCTAATCAAAAATTTCAAGTTACTAATTTTGTAACTTATGTAGTTATGGAGTGAAATGCCATTTTTGAAGCAAATTCAGCATAATCGTGTAAAACAAAAGTGTCGAAAACGCTTGCTAGCACTTGCAAAATTCCATGAATGTTCACTACAGTTACAGCAATGAGAAGATGCACTTACAGTTATTAATTGCGCTTGACAGCCAATTACTTTCTCCACAAATTATTTTTATAAGCAATTAATCATGCGAAACCAGTGTCTAGAAGGGGTGGGCTGTTTAGAGATGTTCAGTAGCAATTTTCGTTGATAAGTCTCCCTTATTCAACTCAAAATTACTATGCGGTTTTGAAAAGTTTGAAATCGCCAAAGTAGAAAAAAATCGGCAGTTTAAGTCGTATTCCTAGACATTGTTGTTGTATGAGTCGAGTATTTCTGTTTTTTATTTCGGCTTTATTCCCTACAAGATGTGTTTACTTCCTATTTCCTAAAATTTTACAAATTGCAGTAAATTTCACGCTGCAGTGAGCAATGAGAAAAAAATACGCCGAGAACTAGTTTTGTATTTTTCCGAACACACTGTCACTTGGAATTTTGTCAATTACACTGCAGAAAAATCTGAAGATTAAGTAAATTAGGAGCATTGGTCGTCATCACATGGTTTTTCTCAAATTTTCAACTGAAACTAGAGAAGAACGGAAGTGTATAGCGATTATGACATCGCTCAATCCTTTTTGGTTCCCGCAATTTCATTGGTGAGCTAGCAAACCGTCACTTTATGTCTGATGCTAACTTCACACATTTATGACTTGTGTTTGGTTTCTTTCTTCATTTTCTGAGCCACAACTGATTTTTTGTTTTTGACCTGTAGAATTCTAGATCAGTTTCACAACAGTACCAATTTGGGGGGAGGAGGAGGGAGAGGGGAGGGTGACCACAGCAAGAAGTTTTTACTATAAGTTCTTTACAAACCTTACTTACGCTCATTAAACTTGAAAAATAAAGCTCTGCCGTGGTTTTAATGAAGAAAAATTGTGTAAGCCTTACACACACAAAACCCTCTCACAGAAATCCTAACACTTCGTCTCTAATTAGTACTACGTTGGAGAGAGCCCTTCATTCTTCAAAAATCAACAATCTTGTCCTAACAATTTTCTTTCCAAATTTTACAGCCTTTATCAACTTCCACCCAAATAAAAATCATATTTTTGGCGGTTCAGTTACCCTATATCAATATTTTTTGGCGTGCGGACTCTGCTACTTCATAGATTGTGTAAAAACAAAAATAATATCTCATCATTAGTAATTGAACCTTGTAAGTCTATCCCGAAATCTTGTAATTTTCAAGATGTGATAGATTCTTCACATTCTTTACCAAATCAGGTAACTGAAATTCCGCTGGACAAAAAACAAGAACCAAAACAAGAATGCAGAATACTTTCATTTTAAAAAAGAACATGGAAATTAGACTGTTACAACTTCCAAAATCTAAAACTTCTCGTCGTTTCAATGAAGTAGTCGAAAGACAGGTAACTGATTTTCAAATTACCCAAAAAACACGAATCAAGAATGCGAAACCCAAATCTTGCGACAAAAAGGAGGAAAACTTGAAAAATTAGCGAAATAAAAAAATCTCCGCAAGAGTTATATAGTAGCTACGTGACCGCAAGCGCAACTAATTTGACGTGCCGCTAGATTCGCCATTCTTGGTCGTTGCCGCAGCTACAGTAGACTTTTGCGCCTCAGGACCTGACGCAACAGCGAAAAGCTTAGTTCAAGGTTCATTAAATTTGGTCACGCACGCATAGTATACTGTAACGTTGGCAGCGAGTAAAATTTTTCGCGGGCACACAAGTACCATGACTATTGCTTTGGAAAAACGCACTTTCAGTAGTAATGCTAATTTTATGCTTTGTATTCACATAATCTTTGGAAAAATCAGTAAAGATTGGTTTCATTTCCCCGGAATCTCATATATCATTCAATCACCAAAGCTCATTATAAGATTTCATTATCATATCCGGACCAGTTTCACTTTTTCGCACTTTCTTCCCCGTTTCATCGTATAAACCCATAACCCATGATTTACGGCTATAAAAGACTATGAGGTGCCAAACGACGTTTTAAAAAGTTGCCTTACCCGTTCTTCTTTAGGCATATGAATGGCCCTAATCATACCCCTCGTGAAAGCTTCGGCTCCTTGGCTGATGAGATGGCCGACAGTGAACGCAGTGAAGTTATGCAGCTTCGGCTAGAGAATCGCAAACTGCGCGCTCATTTGGATTCGACTGAGAGGTATATTAGGGTTACGATATCATGTAAAGGTCGCAAATTCTAAATTTCATCATTCCAGCTCGATAGTCGCATCAGCCGAACTAGAACAGCTGAAAACCGAATTGGAGGAGCGGGAGAAACAATTATCCGAGAATCGTGCTGAGCACGAGCTTGTCCAGAGACAAGTTCAAAGTTTAGAAGAGACAATCACTCAGCTCAATCAGGAAATCATCGAGGTGAGTGGTAGCGTTGGTCCTGCAGCGGTATTCGAATTATCCAAGTTGTTTAGACGAATGCCGATCGCGAAAAATTGCGAACAGAACGGGACGAGTCAGTAATGTCGCTGATTGATGCGAGAAAAAAGTTCGCCCAGTTTCAGTCTGAATTTGGCAGGAAATTTGAACAGGAGGCGCAGACGAAGGTACGATTTTCACACAATCTTTCTTTTCTTCAATCGTATGTGGTGGGGCAACGATGCCTATGGGTCGCGGCGCACTGGCACAAGCAAGATTATTGATTAGCTTATGGACTTTCGGTGCGCTTGCAAAAGTATTGCATCGCTAGTTTGGAGAATTCGCATCCTATGGTTTATTTTTGACAGCCACTGCGTTTTCAGGAAACTTAAGTACTTTTTATTTTCCAAGTCCTTCATTCTCGCAATTGCAGCTCTTACTGCGGCGCGCCGGCGATGCCTATGAGTCCCGATGCTTTGCCACTGGCAAGATTATTGATTAGCTCGTGGGCTTTGGCGCGCTTGCAATTTTTGCAGTGTACTACATTGTCGAGGGGCTGCGTCGATGGGTTTTATTTAAGGAAATATATTTTTTGAGTCTCAGGGCGTTAGCTGCTAATTTCTTGGTGCGATGCGGCGGCGATGCCTATGAGTCGCGGCGCATGGTAAATATTGATTACCTCATAGGCATTGACACGTGCTCGCGCCTTATTATGCACTTACGTTGCTAAGACTGCGTCAGAGCTTCTATTAAATTACTTTTGAAGATAATTCACCTTTAAATTCTAGGTGATGGAAATGGAAGCTGAGCTTCAAGATCTTCGCCGTAAGTTGAGCTCAGCTGAAGAAGAACGTCGACAAACTGAAAAACAACTTCACCGAGTTTGTGACGAACAAAAACAACTTCGTGTGACAGTTGATGAACTTCGCGAAGAAAAAGCCAATGCTGAGACACAATGTGCCACAAGTGAACGTGCTAGGCGAAGTGCCGAAACCGAGAGAAACTCGCTTAGGGTACATTTAATCTACGTCTGCATATGGTCCCGAAAAGAATTCCTGGATTTCAGGCTCGTATCGAGGCTTTGGATGTGGAGTGTGAGGAGTTACGCGAGCGTGCGCGTTGCGCAGAGGATGCGAAGCGACGAATGGAGGGTGGCGAGCGGCGTTTGGCTGAGTTGCAGACGCGTGTTGGTGACTTGGAGGCGGAAAATCGGACGCTACAGCAGCAGGTGAGTGGAGTATAGACGGCCACACAATCATTGGCTCTGGCTGATTATTCTGTTGCATGCGTCGCAGTCGCGCGTGCTACTTTGGTCGCTTGCGTCGCGTGTGGCGCGCGTACTTCAATCAATAAGCATGCGCCCACTGCGCATTGCACGCGAAAAATAACTTTCCCCATTGCGAGTCCATGAATCATACAAAAAAAAATTCGCGAACTCCATTGGAAGGAATTCACTTGAACTTTATACGTGACACACCGATTGCACGTTATTTTACGCCTCAAAACATTTGGAGCCGCAGATATTGTTCAAATAATCCACAGTGACCCTGTTTTTATAGATGGAGCTCGAATCCCAAAAGACGCAACGCCTTCGAGAAGATCTCGTTTCGGAGAAATCGAAGTTAGCAGAACTTGTCAGTCGCTTGCGAAGCGTATGCGCCGCGGTCGCACTTAATGGTGGTAAAATCGATGCAGAAATGGATGATCATCAGGTGAACAAGTTGTAGGTGATTTATATGGATTGTGGATAAATGGCATGATTCCAGCTAATCGACTCCATCGACGATGTGATAATGGGCGCGCTGACGGCTGCTAAACGCGAAGCGGATGCGTTGCGTTTGCAACAGCACACGCAGATCGCGGAGCTGAATGATCTCAAGAGTGATATCGAGAAGTTGAGGTACCAAAAGAACCTTTCAAACGGAATTCAGTTTATAGGATAACTTTGCTTGAGGTAATAGGGACCAGAGCGTAGCTCCGCCAAGAAGGGGCGGGCCACTAACTTACATAACTGTATTTTATTGCAAAAATAGAGTGCTTTGCGTTAAGAAGAACGTTAAAGCGCAACTTTTCCCTCCTATGGAATTTCCGTAGATCACAACCATCAGGTAAAGAAGGTGGGGAGGGGGAGGGGGAGTAGTTAGAGGAGGTAGGGAGCGGAGTATTTCAAATCCATAGCATTGGTAGTAGCCTCGAAAATGCTATTTAAAAACATTGTACATAATTGTAAAAAGATGGATAACCCATTTTAACGAAAAAGTCTGCAGTTTCCTGGCGTAAAATCCGTTGTATTGAACGTCGTACACACTTCATATCTGTTCCACTGCGTATTAACAAAAGTTGTATATAGTAGGAGTTAGCAGACCTCAAGTTTCTTGCATTTGATGTTTATGTAAAGAGAAAAGTTTGGGGTAGATACCATCCCCCCCCCCCCCCGAGAAAGGCGGGAATTGCGAATTTGAACAATACCACAATACCTGGCAGCTGGCGATCCGTCATGAATCCTCGATGATTTGCATGTTCGATGAAGCCAGATGCTCGGCAATTTGTTCAGGATTTCAAAATTAGATCTCACTCAAAATGGTCCCTAAATGAATTTTCTCAGCAAAAAAAAAAGACAATCAACCATTCAATTCTTTTCCAGAAGAAGCGAAAGTGCATCCCTCGTTGAAAGTGACGATCGTGTTCGTGAACTGTCAAAGGAGAATGTCGCACTAAAAGAGCAGGTACGGTAACTTCAATTGCACAGCTACCGTAATCTACTCTCACACTAACACCACCACCGTTTCCCACTAGCACTTTTTCTCATCCTTTCATCTAACGCTTTCGCTCTGTATTGGCTTTCCCATAGGGCAGATCTTGGCATGTGGTAATTCTCATTTTATTACCCACTATAGCTGCTCTGGTCGCACAATGTCTGCTCTTATAGTGCCTTTGTAGTGCTCTCACTGACCGCACTTCTCTGCTTTTTTACAGTAATTTTGCATGTTTTAGTTCACGAAATACTAACAATTTGTATGAACACTAACTATACGCAATTAGCAAATTTCAGGTTTTCCTTGTGCAAGAGAAAGTACGAGAATTACAAATTGAAATCGCTGCTAAGAATAGTGAGATCACAGCAGCGAAAAGAGGCATCGAGGAGTTGAATAGGAATGCGGTAAGTTGATCAAACTCCTCGATGCAATTGTCCCTTATCCAAAAAGTTCTTAAGCTTAACGACCTTAACCTTTCAAAAGTGAGACATCGCTTCGGAACATGCACAAGGAGTCTAGACATTTTTTAATATTCATAAGATATTGTGGTTGAACGCAACGCGCACACTGCGCTCAAAACTTGAGAGTCAAAACTTGGAAATTTGCGTAAATCTTTTGGAAATGTAACCAAGGAAAAGCCAACTGTAAGATATATACCGAGTATACATGTGTCCCTGAGACCGAAAAGAATCCTTGAATTTACGAGCAAAGTTCATGTTGTGAGTTAGGAAATGCCTAGAGTGTAATTAGAAGAACCAACTATCAATTTTCGTTTTCGTTCAAGTAAGCATACCCAGCACTAATCGCATTTCTAGTTCATTGCGTATTCTCAAAACTAGAAAAGACTCCCATGAATAGTTTACATTTTTCCAATTTTTCCCTTATATTCTCTCTTATAAGATGCATTGTGTAAATTTTTTGCAAGAAGAACAAAACATGCGAAACTGCATATCATATAAAGTTCTCACTAGCTTGCTGTCCAAGTTGGGAATTCTCGTCCTCCTTGATCTTGCCGTCGCCAATCCTAGATTTGCCAGTCCACTCATTAACCAAAAGTTTTCTATAACTCGCCAGTTGCAATTTGCACTTCCGATAGAGGCCCATCTAGAAAGTCGAATTTCTAGTCTTAGAAGGGTTTGAACATTGTCGAAAACTTGATGTAGAAAAAAAGGAATGCCGTTTGAGTAAGAAAACGAAGCTCTTAATATACTATATCCAAATCTTGAGAAACTACCTGCACTCAAAAAAGGGGATTTCTGTTACACCTCTTCAGATACTATATTTCTGGCAATTTTTATTCTTCTTTCGACACAATCTTTTTCTCCTGCAATGTGATCCCCTTCTTCTTTAAAAATAACCAAATGCTCTTCCTTTACGTAATGGCATACGAATACCACATCAAAACACTGTCACACTATGTTGTGATGCAATCAAATGGGCCGAACGGGCCATAAAGACGGGGACATTTGTGTTTTTTAGCAAGCTCGTAAGCATAGGGTGGGTCCTTTATACTTGCCGCTCTTCCGCCAAAGTTTGCCAACAAATAAAATGGATGCCAAAGCTTCGATAGAGTGCACAATCTTGGAAGAAAATGTGTAATATTCTATGCAAATTGCGGCGGACATCTGGCACGAAATTTCTATGGCAGCTCAGCTCACGTTTATGCTGGCTGTTCATTACGAATGTGCTTGCGACAACTCTTCCCTCAATGCTGTAACTCGTCCAAGTCATGCATTCCTTGGGAAAAAATTAGCGGAGAATTTGCCCCATTGAGTTTTTGTGCGTCTTTTCGAGGAGAATCAGCCTCTGAAGCTGGTCTATCGTGCTTTTCCATCATAATCAAGCTTTGAGTGACAGTGATTGCCCCCGGTCCCGGAGAAAGTGAGGGGTGTGGCATCCGTCACTGAAGACGAATTACGCTGATCTCGTTCAGTTTCACTTCGCCTATGTAAATTTATATCCGTTACGCTAATTTCGCGAGCAAACTCGTCCATCTTGGCTTGGTGGAAGGTCAAGATAGATCTGTTTCAGAATTCTATGTATTCTGGGGACTTTTTTTACGAGAAGACTAGTCCATTTTGTTTCTTTTTGATATGAACAATCGAAAGTTTATAATTTTTTTCATCAAAAGATGTATTAAAGTGTTCGCTTAAAAATAGTCTTTCACTCGTACAAATTACCAAGGGGAAACTCGTGCAAATATCATCTATTCATAGTACAAATTACCAAGAGAAAACTCGTCCAAGAATTATCTAGTCATGCTTCTATGGGGGTGCCTATCCTTATGACTGAATTCTATCTTTATTTTGAAATCTTTTTGTTCGATTTTTTCCCGCCCGTTATTTGTCCTTCCTTTTTTCTTTTGATTTTTTTATCAAGAAAAGAAAAAAGTATTGTATGTAACATTGCTCTAAACTTAAAAATATTATGGGATTATCTGCATTTTGATAAAAAAACAAGTAAAAAATTGAAATACGTTGATTTGTCATAGCCTTCATCCTTCTCTTTCTTTATCTCCCCCCCCCCCCCCTTAGCCAGATTTAGTGTCTTTTTTCTACCGTAATCACACTTTTGTTAGGTTCCACATTTGTCAACCTTTTTTCCTAAGTCACATGGAATTTTCGTCAAAGTTCACCACCCAGAATTTACAGTTCTTTTCGAAATGTGCCATATTCTCACCGAAAAGGTTAAATTCAAGTTTTTGGGTAAGCTTTGGTCTGCTGTACATCTCACTCTCTATGTTCTTAGTAATTCGATACTTACATTGTAAATCCATCGGAAAGGCTGACAGGTGGTCATAAATTGTTCATTTTTGCCCGGGAATGGTGCCGGAGGCAAAGCTTCCGGATTTCTCCCCATACCTCCTCCACTACCTTCGCATTTGTACACCAGATCGTAGTACACATCAGGATTTATCACCTTTTAGTGCATTTTTCTTTTTCTTCACTGTCCCCCCCCCCTCCAAAGAAAAAAGTCCTAAAAAGGAACCGCTCAGTCCTTGTGTCCTGACCAATACGCTAATCGTCACATATTGTATGCGTCATCGCTCAATCGCAAGATCTCTATCGTTCGTTCAGCGTTCGCGGCCCTCAGAATCGTATGGTAATTATACGTTCCCATCTCCTTCTCTCTCATGTGATGCCCTTTTTATGGACATCCAAACGGCATTACGAACCATATGAACATTTCTGCTGGGTAGACATCTTGTCTCTCTTGCTGAAGATTTTTGTTTTTTTTTTCAAAAAAATTCATAGAAAATGTTTGAAGTGTTGTAAAGTGGAAAACTCGCTTTGTATCAAATTTTTCGATTCAAAAAAGTTGATAAGAAAATTTCCCAAAATTATCAACGCTTTCTCTTCATGTCATTCATCTGATACGAATGACAGATTTTTCCGTTTCGCTCATAAAATTCTACCAAAGGGCCTAAAAAAATTTATAATTTGAAAACATATTTCAGTTCATATTTCACTAAAAAAAAGAAGGACTAAGTATTGTAGGACACATTACCTGATGTATCAACATCTTATCTAATTTGTTCGCTAAGCAAGTGATCTTTGAAGAAAGAAATTTTGTCCAGTTATCTCCAAATTTTGTTCAATTTTTCAAAAATAAAATATCAAAAATAAGATAAAATCTAGTTTCAAAAAGTAACTGAAAATATTCTGCGACTCTCCCAGAACAAAGATTGTATCTCCGGTTTTCCTACTTTTTAGTTATGTGGAAAATTACCCAGTTTGTCAAATTGACAACCATCAATCATAGACGTTGGTAAAACTAGTTTACAGCGGAATTTTTTCTACTTCTTATAGTTTGCTCCGGCAATTTGCTGCGAACGTACAAAAATACAATTTTGCGTCTCCACATGCCAACTCATTCTGGGTGTACAATTATAGAATTTCGCTCTTGCATTTTCTTGGAACTATTGGCAATTATTCAAACTTCCAGACTGCTGCATCTGCTTCGAATACCGAGCTAGCAAGGTTACAGGTCTCGTTAAGGAACCTTCAGCTACAGGTAAGCCTATAGAGCTACTTTTTCATCTTGTGACTGTAAAGGGTCAAAATGTGCAATTTCACAAAACCTCGGGAAATGTGAATTAGGCCCTTTGGGATAGTTTAGTAATTGAATCCTGTAGGGGTAAGAGATATACAGAAAGTAAATAAAATGGTTTCGAAACTTCAACACAATCAGCAAAAACTGGCACTGTGCCAACTATAAAAAGGGAGTGTAAAAGGATTAAAGATTGATAGTTTATACTAGCAGTAAGAAAGGCATTTAGACTTTTCTATGCCTTGACTCAAGTTGAACGCTATAAAAGTAATTGCTGTTAGCTTATGTGATAAATACCGTAACTGTCGCCTTGTAACTTGGGAGAAAGGGTAGGCATCTTACTATTAAATGTGGTTTTGGGATTTCATATACCTTCTGAAGAAGGAAGACAATCCGAAGATTCCAGCAAAAATTTATTCCCTTATATTTGATTGTTTGGTGTTTTTTATTAAATATTAGGTTGGTGCAAAAGTTCTTTCGCACCAAATTCAAAAATTCTTAACTTGTTGAATTCTCAATGAATCTGCAAGATCTAAAAATTTTTTTAAGAGAGGAACTCATGCTCTTTGCATCTGCACCTGAACTGTTCGTAATGTTTACAAATGAAGGAGATAGAAGCTCAAAACCAAAATCACTCAAAATTGAATTTTTCGCGCAGGGTCATAAAAAATCGGAAGCCTGCAGCAAAAATCGGAGCAGTCAGTATTGTAGTATTCTTTATTCTATTAATATTCGTAAGTATTCTTTCACTAGCTCCTTCTAACGGTGCAAAGTTTACGCTGATTGAGCGTCTCTATCAAAAGTTATGATTTCCCTGAAAAATGTCAAAATAAATCAAATTCGCCCTTTTGTATTGCTTGCTCGAAATTCATAATTTTTCATAGAGACGTGCAATCAGAGGCAAACTTTGCACATTAGAAAGAGCTGGTGAAAGAACCTACAATACCGATTGCTCCGATTTTTGTTGCAAGTTTCCGATTTTTTATGACCCTACACGAAAAATTCAAATTTTGAGAGATTTTGGTTTTGAGCTTCTATCTCCTTCATTTGTAAACATTAAGGAACAATTCAGGTACAGATGCAAAGAGCATGAGTTCCTCTCTTAAACAGAATTTAGATCTTGCAGATTCATTGAGAATTCGACAAGTTATGAATTTTTGAATTTGGTGCGAAAGAACTTTTGCACCAACCTAATAAATAGACAAATGGACTAATAAATGAGTGTAAATAAATAAATTAATAGTAAAAATAGTACATACCGAAATGGCAGGGAAACAAAAAATTTGTAAGAATGAGGAAAAAAATCAGACTAAAAGGGGGTTTTTCATGAAAATTTTCCCATTTCCAGGAAGAACTGCTTCGTGAGGACAACTCACAGCTCCGTGTGCAAATCGATTTAGCCGAGAAATCTCGACATATTGCCAAAAAAGACGCGGTAATTACCGATTGACAAAGTGTCTTGGGACTAATTGCTGGGGCCATTGATGCTGTCAAATTCATACCTTTAGGATTCGTTGGCGGCTATGCATCAGGCGTTGCTGACGGACCATGATCGTCTGCAGAATTTGCACGATTTGCTCACACAGGACTACGAACGGGCTCGTCTTGAAAACGTTGAGATGAAAACGAAGCTGAAAACGCAAAGGGTTAGTTTGGCACAATTTTTGACGGTTTTGTATCATTTTTCATCCTAGAAAATAGGTCAGTTTAACAACATTTTTGTTGTGGCGTATCATTTTTTAATATGAAAAATAGGTCAATTTAACATAAATTCCAGTCTTAAATTTTTGAATCTAATAATAATAAGTTAGTCAATGGATTTTTCTTCTGAATATCCAAGCACGTCTTACCGTTTAAGTACATTATTTTCAATTTTGGCGCACTTTGTGTATCATACATAAATAAATTAGACAAAATTTGGCAGAAATTTTGTAGGTTATTTTGCCATTTTTTATCTCAAAAAGAGAGCAAAAACGTTCAAAAACTGTCATGTATTTTTCCTTTTTTTCTGGTCTTAAATTTTCACTTTTGATTTATATCGACTACCTCAGTGGAATCATTTATGAGGTCATTGATTCTTCTATGCATATAAACCGGCTCGAGACTGCCAGATAATTGTAGTCCGTTCTCCTCACTCCCTTTCATTCGTCTTGCCTGACCTTCAAACACATTTTATCTAAAAAAATTCCTTATAAAGATGTTTTTGAGACGTTGAATTTCAACCAAAATTTGTGCAAAAAAAAATGTTTTCGACTTCTGAAGAATTAGCAAATCGCAAAGAGGAAATGTCGTTTTAACGTTTTATATTGCGCTTTGAAAAGTAAAGAGGGAGATGAATAGGGGGGGGGGGGGGACGTAATGGCCAGTTTAAAAATTTTATCGCTTCCTTTATTTCCAAATTTTCGATTTTATACTCGACATCGGCTCCGGCTGTCATCGCCTTTCTCAGCTTTGAAGATGCATCTGCTGACTTCATTTTCTATTTTCTCATTTATCCTCTGTCCATGGCTCTCAGTATTGAATCGTTGAAAGCCATCATTATCTCTTCTCATTTCCCATTTCAATACCACTGCCAATGCCAACTACCGTAAAAAAAGTTTAATTCTATGGGTAATTGCCCATAGAATTGAAGCGCAATTCTACTTCTCATCTGTTGGCCTTGGATAGAAGGATTCTGAGAAAAAAAATTAGGTTAATGTAATGAGTTCAACTTTGAGTTCAAGGTGGTAGCAAAGTTGAGGGCGAACAATTTTTTGTGCTTCAAATTTTCCTTTAAAATTGCAGTATCGTGAGGGGAAAGGGGAGGGGAAGGGGATAGGAACTGTAAAGAATTTCACTGAGATTTATCATCACTAAGTAGAACAAACCCCTAATGATTTTTCTTCGTCGTTTTTTTCCAATTTTTGCTATATTCACTTTACTTGAAGTATTATATGGAAATACCGTAGTCTTTGGTAACTCGTCCAAGAAAAAAAAATCATGCTACAACATCACAAACCAGGCGGCAATGGGAAGAACTTTTTGTGAGGGAGGGGACAGGGGGGGGGACAAAAATTTTCTTCGAATTGATTCTCGAATCAAAGCTATGCCCATTATAACTCTTCTTACAGAGTTCAGATTTTTTAAAATTTGTAAGAAAATATCTTCAAATGAAAATCAAAAATAAGTGATCTGCACAACTTTAAAAATTGTGGAAACCATTCTCAAGAATTCTGCAACCCATCGAGGGGGGGGGGGTGGGAGGTGTGGAAAGCAAAAAACTTCAGATCATCATCGGGGTATAGTTGGATAGTGTCCAATCTGTCATGGGTAAATTTTTTTTGAAATGATGAACCCTACCCATTGATTTACAAAGCACAATTCAAGAAATTAGCAACATTGGCACTATGCAAGAAAAAAATTCTACTATGACATCACTATCGCTACAACTCGGACTACGGCCATTGTCCGAGTTGTCACGACACTCGTACAATGACCATCTGTCACAAGCTCTTCGTGCCAAGTGCATAGGTGTTGACAATATATCAATGCTTCTGTCAGTCAACGTTGCACACTATCAATATCCGTTTGAATGGGTTACACACTACAGCTGCACACATGCAACACAGATGTTTCCACGCAAGAGACAATTCAAGTGCATTCGGGAGCTAGCAAAATAAACAGGAAGTGCATTACTGGCGGAGGGGGCGGGAAGGAGAATACGAGCAAAATAAAATTCGATCACGAGAGGTCTTGAGTTTTGAGGATCTCTGATGACCTCGCAGAACTTAGCGTAAAACATTTGACCGCGAATAATCTTCATACGCTGCTTTTTTCTCCACCATACAGTCACAAAAACATTTTTCTTGCAGAAAGGGTCCTTTTGCACCGCTACAGTATGATGCCTAGTTGGCCATGTTTATCGGGCGTATAATTTTCAGCGTTTCTCACATGTGGTAGCTTTCAAAAATCAAAACATTTGAACTTGGAAGAACTGAGTTTTACTGCCCCAAAATCCTCCACGAATAAACAAATATGGTTTGATAGCAAAACAAACAAAGAAGTGCATTGTGGAAGGGGGGGGGGGGGGGAGGGCACAGTGGTTTATAAATCAGTTCTAGTGTGATTGTTTTTTGATCGTCGATAGTTCTCACTTCCACATGTTTCTCTACATTCTTCTACGAAATATGTGGCAGGTACGATCTTTTTTTATATCAAACAGGCCTTTTGCACCGCTACTGTATGCTACAGTAATCGCCCAATTGATTTAGGGCACCATATACTGCAGCGATGTGAGATTAAAGCACGCCTTAAACCTCTTAAGAAAGTGCGTTGATTGGCAATGTTGATTAGAGCACTGGGGAAGCACGAATTTGCGGGTAGCTTACGGTAGAGGTGCAAAAAGGCCTTTACCCTTTCCTCCTTGATTACAGCGGTGTATACCCAGTAGATTATTTTTAACGAAGATTGACTCCTATCAATGTCCTACTTGATATCAAAGTAAATTATGGCAGTGTTACGGGAACTGAGGGTTAACGCTAGCATACGGTACTGGCGCAAAAGTGCCTGTACGCTATTTGTTGATCATGGCATGTTTTACTAGAACTACTGTTACTGTTACTCTTTTTGACGAAAACTTGACTCCGAGCCTTTTTCCCTTATCATCAATATCTTTCAGCCTATCTCTGCTGGTCCATCGCGAGAGATGGAAGAGATGCGAATGGCTCTCGAACAAGAACGTTCCGAGAAAGATCGCCAGCTTCGATCCTATGCGGATTTGCACAACGAGCATGGTGCTCTGAAGAGGGAGATGGATCACATTAGGTAAATCCTTATGTTGCCTTGGGAAATTTCTCGTCTAATTTGTCATTCTTTTCAGGAAGGAAAACGACTGCTTGTCACGAAATTGTGACAACCTAAGCTCGGAAATTCGTAAGCTGAAGTTAGCAGAACAAGCGCAGAGGGCTACAGTCAAAGACCTAATGACTACGGTAGAAGAGCAGACGAAAAATATCCAAGCAAAGGAGATCGAGATCGCTAAGCTGCACAATACCATCGAGGTAAACTACATCATCATCTCAAAAAACTCACTATTTTTAAAAGGATTTCTTTCTAGCTGTTAACCAAGGTAAATCGAGTCTATGAAGAAGAAAGCAAGAATCTCACACGACAGGTAAACAAAATTTTGCTGCGCCATGAGCGGCTTACTGTATCCTTTGGCTATTAAAATTTAGGTGGAAACACTTTTACACTACAATCGTGAGCTTCAGGAGAAAGCATTGACCGAGAAGAATGTAGCACATTTGGAGCAGAAGCAATTCCAGGTTGGGATTTTTCAGCCATAAATTTTTTAGAAAAAATTTACGGAAACCCGGGAACCCAGATATTTTTTTGTGCTCAAAAAACCTTCGAACGTTTTTATACGTAAACTAAGTGCTCACTGAGGGCGTTGTAAGGTGCCTTCTACTCTCATCGATTTAGCATATATGCGCAGATCCGCGACGCGTGCGCGTTGCGTGCCCGTCGCGTATGTTTCACTAGTTGTTGTCTCATGGGAGTACTCGAAGCTTTTGGTACTGTCTAAAGCTTCAAAACAAAAAAAAGAAATGATATCATATTGAAATCTTGCCCCTATAAATTTTATGTGCTTAGGATCTTAGCTTTAAGCTTGTCTAGTGGGCGTGTTCTACCATGTGTTAACCACGCCCACCTGGATAGACCACGCCCACCACAAAAACACTCAAATACACTTCAAGATTCTGCTTCTTCAGGAACGTCTCTCCGCCCTACAACGGCATAAGGAGAAACTTGAGGAGAAAATCATGGATCAATATCGATCAATGGAGAGTAAGAAAATAGCCGAAAGGCAGAAGCAGCCATTGGTAAAACGAGCTGCGAAAGCGTTGATAAGCAGGGTAAGTTTTGTAAAGGACAAAAGTCGGAAGTGGGCAAACTCCGCCTACCTGGCTGACTCCGCCCATCAAGAGTTCTATGAATTTCTGTTTTTTTATTGCAGAGGCGACCTTCAATCCCAAGCGGAGGATCAACAACCGAGGATAGCAGTGTATACAGTGCCGATGAAGGATCACCCCCGCTAACAAACGGTAAACTTCGCCCTGAAAACTGTGTCGCAGTCGCATCCGCATCCACAGTCGTAGTTGCACACTCTACCCAAACTGCACAGCAGCACTCTGGGGGTTCCGTTGTTGCTAGCCAGCTTACTACGTCTACTTTGAGTCGCACTGCTGTTAGCAATGGTAGCCTTACGCTTGGCCGTTCATCACTTCGTATTCCTTCGTTCAAAAAATTGACTACCACATTTCGTGATGACACTTTTCAAGGCGCATATACAAATCCAAATGTACATAAAATGATTGACGTACAGTACGGGACCCAAGATTAATTTTGAATAATTTCTCGAGAAACTTTTAAACGCTTAGCAGTCATTAGTACAGATAGCCGCTGATACCTACATACAGTCTGTTCTTAATCGCGGCGTCCCCGTATCGATTGGAGGCCAGCGCGCGTGCCTCTCGCAGCCGCTTCGCAGCCGCGCGCAAAAAGGGACACTGCAATTGAAACAGACTGTAGAACAAACATGTCACTTCACACCAGTAAGCTGTCTTTCCTGTATGGGTCCGTTGTTTTTTGTGCTCGTTATTGCCTGTAGCCAAATGTTCTTCACATAGTAGTTTTAGTAGCAATATTTTTCTCTATTGCACATCTATATGCACTTGTCCCTGTGATCATCGTCCTCGTGTCCTGTCCTTGTCCGTGACCGATTATCTGTCAATAAAGCGTATTTATGTGTAAAGTTGTAAATGTGTTTGTGTGTAAAGCTTGTTTCATGTGGTTAACAAGAACATGGACTTCAGAATAGGGAGAAGGGGGGGGGGGTAATGAAGGAGGGCTATTCACTCTAAGAATTGTTGGTAACGGTCAACTGATCCTGGAAAGTATGCTGTGGGCATGTACCAGCGCTAGATACTAAACTCCCGCTATCTGGGTTTATAACCATCCGCCTTATTATTCTTGACATCCAGCTGCTTCCAAGTGATACATGACAGAGATTTTAGCGATGAGCGTGAAGTGCGCTTTATAATATGGCACGATGTAAGCATGTATAGCCTAGCATTGGCGGCTAATTTTAGTGTTTTGCTGAACAACAATTGCACGTCAATGGCAATCTGTACTCCACTTATTTTCGCGCGAGACGCAAGCTATTTGCAGCATTCACTAACATGGCATTACGCGCAAATGTTGTCGCCATCGCAGGAATACCATAATAGCCATCAAATCTCTTACCTCAATTTCACGAGTATAGGACGCACCTTTTTCATTTTTTTAAGCGACCCGCTCAGCCGCTTCGCTGTTTAGTCACGAAGTCCTTTAGCTTGTCTGTGCTGTTCGATTTTAGCAAAAGATCTCCCCTTCCCCCGTCCTATACTCGTGAAATTAGGGTAGTATGTACAGGGTTTCGATTCTAGAATTTTGCTAACCTCACAATGATTACTTGCTCGGTTCATCGCTTCTCGGTCTTTTGGCTATTATTCGAATCAGAGGTAATGGTAATGGTATTTAGAACTTAGCCCTCCTCCAATCATTCTAAGATTTTCGCTTAGAAAGTTGTAAACCGCAGATTCAGGGGTTAGTGAAGGATGGAGAAAACGTTGCCAAATTTATTTAGTAGGAAGGATCCCCAACTGCAGTGGCGATTTGAGACAAAATGCAAGCCATTAGATTCGTCTTGTTGAGCTGATTCCAATTCACTTGCGTATCTGCTGTGTTGGAACCTGTGTCTGGTAGCAGCTAAGCGTCTGAATATCCGAATTGGGCGAAAATTTAGTGCTATATCTTCAAGAATTAGTTGTTGAAAGCATGTTCTGCTGTATGTGTGCATTCCTTGAAGTCAACTCAAAACCATGTCAATTTTGCATTCTCAAGGAGAATAGCTCAGCAGATATGGAAGATAGATTTGAAATCGACCGAGACACATCTAACGTTATGCATTTCCTTCCAATCTCCACTCCAACTTGGGATCCTTCCCTTGTTTGTTAGAAAGCAAACTCAAAATGAAGACGAACGGTGCGTATCTCGTAGTGCCCACTAAATCCGCCCAGATCTTGATGGTATCTTCTAATCCCGAACGGAAACCTGTTTTTCCGAGTCTTACACCGCTTTAAGACTTGTATACATCAATTGAATAGTATTTTTGAGGTTGAAAAAAGTATGAAGCGCATGCAGCAACGGCGTAAAAGTGGGCGGGGCTTTGCGACCAAGCGTATCTGCTTCGGAAAGGTTGCTTGAAATCTTTTTAAAACTACAATGCATGACTATTTCGTGAACTTGTACATGATTAGCGCAACGTCATTTGGCTTTACGAGATGGACGGCTATATTTGCCTTTAATCGAACACATAGACGCCTCCAGTGAGCGTATACAGTGCATTGAAACCAAAACTGTATGCATGGCTTTTTTGCATGAAAACTGCATGCAATATCAAGCACCAAGAAAACCTAGCACATACACTCGCACTCATGAAAACGTGAAAAGTATTTCACATTCCTTCGATTTGGAACTTTCTAGACTCAAATTTAAAATTAGGAAAATAGTGCTTGTTCTATAAATTAACCTGAGCATAAGCTATACTTTATACTTCTGAATGTAATCTCCCTTCAAATCTCTATCATTCTTTCCCACGCAGGCCCTATCGCTACTATACCTTTACTATCCCTAAAGCGCTTCAACCTCTATCTTTTGGATTTCATTTCCTACATTCTAAACTTCTACACAAAACATTTGCCTTTTTTGAATACGAATGTGCCGTGTGCGGCTGCATGAGACGAAGGGTGAAACGTTGGAGATCGGTTCCATCCCGACATCAGAACAAAGTTCCCGATGCTGCTGTTTTGTACAAAGCGCTGCTGAAGGTTAAACTCGACCAAGATCCACCTAGTAAGCAACCCTCAATGTTTTTGAGCTTTCGAGAAAAAAGAAGAACCTTACTATTACCGTAGTAGACTACATAGGATTCAATTCATTTACAACCGAACAAAACAGATTGCAAAAGAAAACCTCGCTAGCTTATCTCAAAAAAGTGGTTTTTTTCTATGGAAGACCTTTTCTTTCTTTCGTTTGCAGGTCCAAGAGGGGTTAGTTGCATGCTAGGTCCTACTTCTCTTTTGGCTGAATAGTTTGGTTTATCACTGTTATTTTCAGTGTTATTTTATGCTTCATTTCTCTAATGAAATCGTGCACTTAGCACAGTATAACAACTTTGATGATCTCAATTGTTTCAAATAAAGCGAAAAATCAAAATCGAAACTGCTACTTCGCGGAGCATACCTTCGATAGTCTAGAGACAGGGCGTCAAAAGTGAAGGTTGCTTGAACATCTGACGTCATAAATAGTGAAGGTTGTTTGAAGATGATCAGAGAAGAGAAAATGACATAAAACAGATACAAAAAGCAAAAGAAACTGCTGAAAATAGGATAAAAACGCTGCAGTGGGGCTTGAAATCTTTCATTTGGCGGCTTTTCAAAGTGCAAGTTTTCGCTTCAGGACCAGCAATTCGCAACACGGGGTTTTGATTTTTGATGCGTCCTTTGAATTTTGACCCCCGCATTGACGTTCCTGTTTCCTGGGACGTTGTCTGGATTGTTGCGCTTATTGTTCTGAGCAACAATCGCCCAAGCTGGAAAAAAATCGATGCGAAGGCATTGAAACAGAACAAGGTAAAGAAAAACGCACTTTTTACGATTTTTCGCAAAAAAATCCACAATAATCAAAGTGATAAAGGCTGGGTGGTTGTCTGCATTATAAACAGAAGCAAGATCTATAGAATGCACGAAAAAACCGGGTAAAAAGAGGCAAACTAGAAGAAAAGCAAGAGATTTTCGAAAACAAGGTTTTTGCCGGATTTCTCGTCCAAATCAAGAAATGTGATTTTGGGACGTTGTCAGCGTGAAAATATAGATCAAGAGTTTCAAAATGATATATAGCTTGCTAAAATTGGGTTCGAAACAGCGAAGAGAGGGGTACCAGAGCCAAATGCCCCGCGCCCCGCGTTTGGGGTAGCGAGGTAGCGCGCAGCGCGCGGAGGCGCAGAGGAGCAGCGGAGACAGACCAGAGCCGACGGGGCATTTGGCTCCGGTCGTAGATCTCCGCGGGGTCTCAACGAAACCCTGTAACATTATATATCATTCTGACCGTCATGACACGACGAGGAGAGCTGACAACGTCCCAAGCTTTAAAAGTCACATACTAACGAGATAGACCAGCACTTTCGTGCGCGACTCTCTGCGCACAATTAAGCGCAGTTTCTCATTTTAATTCAACTCCAACAGCTTTCCAAACTTTTTAAACTCATTTTTGGTCGAGTAGGAGGCTAACTGAGGAACGTTGTCCTGAATTCTGAGGAAATTTTCACAGAAATTCTCTTTTCAGCGTAAAAAAGGCTTTAAAAAAGCAATTTCTCGGCTTCGCTGAGACATTCTTCAGATATTCTTTCCTATATTTGGTTCATTCACATTCTTCCGATATAGTCAGGATTATAACATCCGGGGCTTCGCCCCGGATAACTTCTGTTTTTTTCCCAGGTGAAGGTTGTGTCCCCTCATAGCCCTCAAAGTGAAGGTTACCAGAGTATGTGCTCTATGTATCGAGGGTATGTCGCGGAGATATCTCTGAATGGACAGTTTCAAAGTGTGCGGCGTTTCCTCGCAATCTATCTGCCAATAAGGGATTCATAGATTCTAGAAGATGTTTAGAAGGATAATTCCAATCATGAAGTCTAATTCTGATTAGTAATCATATCACGTTTTCCACCTGGTGATATATCATTTTTAAAACCAAACAAACCAGCAAATAATACGAAGTACTAAGATGTACTTTGCCTTTTTGTCTAATTATTCGTATTCTGCTTGAGAAGTTTTTTTAATACACACATGGTGTCCAGTGAAAATCACTGGGAAAAGTTCATAAACATCCCTTGAACTAAAAAGCTCCGTGTCTAACCGATATAACCCAACTCTAATTTAAATTTTTGTGACTAAAATCTAAGTTTTCAAATCAAAGAGTTTAGATAAAAAAAATAACATTAATGATATTCTTACATCCGCTTCGATTTTTTTCCATGTTTACTCTCAGTTGATATTAGAACATAGCTAGTCAGAACAGCAATAATTTCTAGGAATAGAAGATTTTGACCCGTTTCCGCCTACCTGCTCATCATCAGAGGATCACGATCGCATCTCGCCACCAAATGAGACGCCGTTTAGAGCGCAAGGTCAGTTCTCCAAAAAATTCTGTATACGAAGTGATTTTTGTAAGCTGAAAAAATATCCTAAAAAGGCAGTAGCTTGCAACTTGTCTCTAAAAATTCTACGAAAACAATTGTGGGCAATTAGTTATGTGATTATAGAGGCACCTTGGTGATTTAAAAATTCATGAAACAATCCAATTTTTTGGAAAAAAATAGAAAGTATGGAAACAACAATTCAAATATCTCATTTCAGAACCTTCAAATGACGACTTTGTACGTTTCCGTGGTAATAGCCTAGGCAGTTCCACCAGAGACTATTCCCCTCACCGCGAAACTCAGCTCAACCACATCTCCTATAACGGTAAGCTACCTCCCTGTCAACCTGCAAAAGAGGAACAGAATTTTACCTAAACGAATAGGTCCCGAAAAAACTCCTGATGTCCACATTCTGTCTGCACTGCCACCTCGAGCTCCTATTCGAAATAGCGTAGCCACTGCCTCGCTCCGCTCACGACCACCTCCACCACCTTACACTGCCACCGGTCGGCAAAAGCCGCCACCGTATCCTGGACGAAATGGTGCAAATAGCGTAAGTAGAATTTTTAACCCACAATATGTGGTCCAAAATCTGAAAAATTTGCAATTTTCAAACATGTACAGTTTAGTAGGTTTCCCGATTGATATTGTGCGCTTGCGGTGTAGGGATTGGGCGCCCAAATTTGCGCGTGAACAGATAGGCACGCCAGTATTGCCGGTATGTTGCGCGCGCAAGTCACCGGCATCACAGCGCAGCTGTTTATTCACGCGCAAATTTTGTCGCCCAATCTCAGCACCGCAGGTGCACTACATGTTATGCCAAAACCTATAAGATTATGCTATTTTTTTGCTTATTTTTCCTAAATGCTCTATTTAAGTCATCCGCCTGCTCAACTCCACTGCCAGCCTCGTTTGTGCCACAATCGGCTTCAACGCCAAAAAGCGATAAAGGATCACCGGTGAAAGAATGTGATCGTCCTGTTGTTGGCGAAGGCGAAAAAAGGACATTTATCAGAGAAAAGGTAGGGATTTTTCTAGAATTCCAAACTGATCTCTAGCTTGAAAGTACTTTTTTTTCTTGAGGAATCAATCAAATTGTTAACTGTCAAGCAGACATCAAATTTTATAATCCGAACGAAAATCACAGAAATTTTCCGGAAATTTCGGCAAAGTGTCCTTTTCTCAGCCAATAGGAAGAGATTTGAGCAATGTCGTATTATTTACCACCAGTACATTTTCGTGAATGAATGAGCCGACATAAAAATTTAGTAATTGCGACTATACGCCATTTATCGATTTTTCATAGCATCATATGAGCACGCAGCGCAACCGCAACACCAGCAAAAATCATCTTTTCGAATATGGCTTTGTAAATCTAAGGCGTAAATGCAATCAGCCCTCATAGTGTGCTGATGTCGAAGTTATGTAGCTTAGTATATTTAAATAACTAGTGAACCAGTGATCTCAAAGTGTTAGAAGGCACGCTCGCTTTGGGACCCGCTCGTTTTCCCGCTATCTGATTATTTTTGATTGCATCTTACGATTCTTTATATATTAGACAGATTTCTCGCGGTAGGTGTACTGTAGCGTAGTCCATGCTACCGTGTACCTACCGTACATCTATCGGCCAACAACATAATTTTGACTTTCCAGGTGGAACGACTCGACAAAGCGATGAGCATCTACGAAAATGTCTCTCAAGCTGAAGTACGAGCAAATGAAAGTACTGTATGGTATGAGTACGGTTGCGTCTGAACGCGGCTGGATAATGGAAAACTCGTCCTATGCGCCTTCGTCTGCTCTCAGCAATTTCCACACATAGTCATCCCGATATTTTTTCCCATTCTCCGAAGCAAAATTCCTCCTAATATCATTTTTTTTTTATCTGCATTGCCTTCAACGTGTAATTCCACTCGTATTTGCAGTCATTCCGGTTTATTTTGCTGTTTGTTTTGCTTTGCTGTTTTACTTTTATCCTATTCTCTTCGCATTTTGCTGCCTTGGCACTTTGCCAGAATTTTCTTTTTTGTCACATTGTAGGCCTCAGTCATTAGATATCTATATAAAGCGTTGATTTTACGCATATTTTCCTTACACATGATAAAAAAAATACACTAAACTACTAATCGTTTATAATATAAGTATATATGTCAGTACATGGCAAAACCTCCTCATAATACAGCGGATACAAGTATGTTTTTAACGTAAACAGTACGAGATCAATATAAAAGAGGATGAATGACAAATGAAAACACACACATATGGTTCACAACGCACTATTATGAATAGATAAGCAGAAATCTGTAATACACAAACTATATTATTTGTCAAATACCAGTACTGTACAGGTCATCAGCAATATTAGGATTACAAAGAAAAAGAGAAGAAAAGTTAGTTAAATGTAAAGAGAATGACTAGAGGACCACACCGAGTTGTCTGGGACCGCGTACGGGATCGAGCCAGTGAGAGCCGAGCTCACTGATTGGCCGCTTCGAGGAACATCTGGCGCATTGTTTCAACGTTGAGACGATTCGGCTGAAGACTTCGGCGATGCATTGCGAATCGTTCACGGCCAGCTGTTTGTCGAGGACATGTCATTGAAACCGAGGCTGATCGCAATTTCACCACTGCTCGCTCCTAAAATAGCAAAATCACAACAGTGAAAAAATAAATATGGAATTTTTTAAAATCATTAAATTATTAAATTGAATTTTTCGGAATTTCATGAAGATTCTAAAAGCAAATGCCTTCCAGAAATTAGAATCATCCAGCTTCATAAAACGTGAAGATGCTCATCTGCGTTTCCACTAGTTTATGTCCAACAAGTGGGAGGAGTTTTGGTCAGTGGGGGTGGAGCTTGACAATTATAAATTACCCCGTTTTTTCTGTTATCTGGGCGCAAGTTTGAGCCAATTTATAGGAAAAAATTCATTTTGGATATAAAATCTAATCACGAATATCTTAGAAGGGCATAGTAGACAAAAACGCCGATAAAAACAAAATGAAATGAAAGTGCACAACTTAGCCCACCTTGATAGACGTAGATAACATCAGCAACGCATCAGCCGTAATGTTTATGATTTCTTCTAGCTTCATCGTATTTGCACATAAAAATGCTTGCAACGAGTTTTCCACACCTCTCAAGCCTTGTACATCTTCAAGTAGACTCGATCCCCTCGTCTTAGCGCTCTGGAAATAAAAGAGTGATTATTGTGCTCTACGAACTCATGGTATAACAAAGAACAACCTCCAAAAATGGCTGGTAGGCTTCCTGCAACGAAGTATCGTCCGCGGTTCCAGCACCGTTCAGCTGTTGTTTGAGACGCGTCACCGAAGCATTCAGCTCTTTTACTGCCGCCTCGATGTCATTTAAGGTTATCGTCCTGAATTAGACAATGCTAACCATCCACAGGAAAGGAAAAAGGAGAACTAACTTTGCCCTCTGCAATGTAGATATCACTTCCTCCAAAGCAATGGTATCGAACTCAACATACTGAGCTAATAAGTCAACAAGGCGCAGGTTGGAAGCAGCTTTTTGCTAAAAAGAATTTGACAGAAGATGAGGGAAGCGTAGTACTCAAAAATTGAATAGTCAAGCTAACCTTTCCCTTGGCACTCAGGATTGTAGGCAATGATGAGAATTTGAACCCGACAGCTTTCGAGAGCGCCGTACCCTGAAAAGGGCCATTTGTAAATTTTTTGTGCAATAAATAAGGGACTTACCTGATTAATGTAGTTCCCGTACTGAAGGCACTTATGTAGGAGGTGAACGAGTATAGGTGAGCGTAGGGCATCGCAAGCATCACGAATTCGTCTTGTTGACTCGGCATGGCGATTGAACTAAATAGTTCGTGATTGTTATCTTCTTCAATGTTTCGCACAACTAATTGAGAAGAAGAAATCGGAAAAAATCGTAAAAAACAGTTTACTCATGACCACCGCAATGAGAAGTTGAGCAAAACGCACTAAATTGTAAACACCAGAAGAAGCGAAGATGATATTAGAACTCAATAATCACAGCGATTGAAACTTGAAACTCACATCAGACAATATCTGTTCCCGCGCGATTGCAAGTTCAGTCCTTATCTTCAATGTAGGACGACGAGCCGCTTCCCAGCACAATATATCACAACTACGCTTTACTTGGTCTCGAGGAGCGTTTTTATACATAAGCATCTAAAAGAACAAATTAAACTCAATTCACCGACGCCGGTAATGCATAGCATTGAGGACAGCCAGCGCCGCAGCGCGTCGCCTTTGAGTCGTAAACTTTCCGCAGCGACTCAAAGGCACCGTCGACTGGCGCTGAGTTCACAGTATCGACAACAAAAAAAATCCTACCTCTTCATCAGTAGGAAAATACTTTACAAGTGAGCATAACAAATCGATAGAAATTCCGTCAATATTATGCGATTCAATACGAGCGATAAGGTCCATAACGGATAGTGGGCGAAGCCTGTCAAAATAATTATATATAACTTCCACGAGAGAATAAATGTGCATACTTACTTAGCAAGTACAATCTCAAGATTTAGCGCTTTCTGCTGCGGCAGCTCAAACGTTGTCTCTGACTTGGGTCTTTCACGCAGGCTTCTTCTTTCGGTGTTGAATCGAGAGAGGTTAGTAGGTTCGGCTCTTTCAAATAACATTTGCACCTGCAACCATTTTCGTAAAGAAAAACTTATTAAGTACTCCTTCATGCCGAAAAAAACCAAACCTGATCTCTTTCTTCTACCCCAAACTCAGGTCGCGTGTATTCATTCCATACAGTATGAACGTCTGAAATTCAGCAATTCTTCCTTAAGCAAGGAAAATCATCGGACCAATATAATAGAATGAGAAACAAATTATAGAGATAAAAAAAAGGCAAGAAAGAAAAATGAGAAGAAGAAACCACTTGTTATCGCTTGTTGGCTGACAGCTTGCCACAACAGCGTGTAGGTCTTTTTCTTCTTGGGATAAACTTCATCACTTCGTGCGGTACCTAAACGATGTTTGCTTGAAGCAATAGTAACAGAAAAGGAATGTTCTCAGAAGGCACTTACATGACGGCGATATGGCAGTGGGTGACTTAGAAAACATTCCTGGTGGAGGCGGCGGCGGCGGAGGAGGTGGCGGAGGTGGTGGAGGAGGGATAGCACCATTCTGGACTTCTGAAAAAAATATTTGTTTGGAAAAGAGTGGTGGATTCCACGTGATTGAGCCTACTGAGCAATCCCGGCGGAGGTAGTGGAGGAGGTGGTGGTGGAGCTGGCGTAGGTGGCGGCGAGGCGGTCGTTTGATTTGAGGAAGGGTCTAAATTAGCATTATATAAAGACATGATTTCATAATTAACATTATTTGCAAGAAAATTCGATTCACGTGTGGTCTACGGAGGTGAACGTGAATAATTATAGGCTTAATTGAAAGGGCGGAAGTGATAATGATACTTTTTTTAACATGGCAAAAAAAAAATCATTTTGCTCTAAAACGATTGAGTATTGGAGATTGAAGAACTAAGGCTTAACAAAAAAGAAAAAAAGTGTGCAAAATTAACTATAGAAACTCACTTTTGTCTTCATCACTAGTCACAGTTGGGGCATTAGAGGCGGCAGCGGAATCAGTAGAAAAAGCTAAACGTCAGTGGTTTTCAAGAAACAAAGATCGTTTACTTCTACATACCTGTCAAACTCATTGAAGGATTTAATCCTTCATTTTCGACGTTGGATGACCTGCAAAAAGGATGATGAATGAGAACAGGAAAAGAAACTGCGATATTCGTACTTTGTCAGTTCCGCCAATGGTTCAGCTTGAGATGAAGTGGCAGGCCAACATGCTGGAATTCAAAAACATGAGCTCGCCATCGAATTATTGAATAAAGCAACTGACCAGATTCAGATGAGGATCTAGTCAGAAGTCCAGGAGGAGGAGGTGGTGGTGCAGGTGGAGGGACACTGGCAGCACGATCATCATTAGTAGAGCAAATGGCAGTGGGTTCGGCTGTAAACATACAATATTTCAATACAAAAAATATCAACAACATTTACAAGTAGCATTTACCTTTCTTCAGAAGGCCAGCAGGTGGAGGAGGTGGAGCTGGAGGTGGTGTGCATGGAGTGGTGACTAAACATAGATTTACTTCCACCTTTGACTATGATCACAGAAACTCACCATTACAAAGCTTTTTGGCAGGAGATATTGTTGTAACAAAAGATACAGAAAATGATTGGCCTTTCTTAGGTGGATTAGGTTGCTCGGGTGGAGTTGACGGTGCAGGTGCAGGTGGTATAGGAGAAGATGGGCTTTCATCAGGTTTAGAGGCATAATTGCCCAGGGCAGGATCTATAGGTCCTGAACATTTTATAGTTGAGGAGTACATATGGCAGACAAATACTACTGACCATTTTCAATCTTCAGTGGCTTTAATGGTTCAATAAGTTGATTAGTATTACGTTCATTTGGAGGTATCAAGGCAAGACGAGTGGCACGACTTCGCGAGACGGATCTGTAAGATTATAGCGATGATAAACTTACCAGAACATATCTACATCTGCAAAATTCGTAAAAAATTTGCAAATTAGGGAGCAGAACAATTTAACAAGAACCCAAATCTTAGGCTGAGTCGCAAGAAGATTAGTTGCCTCTTGTAATGAACCACTTCGCTTGTTGGAAAAGCTTGGCATAGATGCCAGATTTTTATGGCTTTTTGCGCATGGTGGCACTCCGTAATGACGCAAACTCCGCATCACATTCACTTTTATTGACGCTTCTCTCCCGTATAATAAAATGCTGGAAAATGTTGGTTTAGTGAAGAATAAAGCACCATGTTGTCACAAAGGGAGCCTTGCAAACCTAGCCCAAATGATAATAACATATTATCCGTATTACTTATGTACTAGTCTCCCTCAGAATACATTTGGTTATTTCAGTGAGGCGCAATATACAGAGAAAATGTGAAAATCCCTTTGGTGACGCTTGAGCCGTACCCCGCCCACGAATACTAACTCCGCCCCTCGCACTCCGCCCATCTTTACAAGAAGGTTCTTGTAAGTAGCTGTACTCATATTTTGGCTGTTTTGCTATAGAAATTCAACCTATTTTTCGCAAGGGTAGGGGCCCCTATAGGACAATCTATAAAGTCTTTGAAAAATTGAGGACGGCAAGCATTAATGAAGACATTGCAGTGAAAACACATTTTCAAGCTTCCATGTTATAATTTTTATTAAAAAAAATTTTCTATTCCACATTTGCGACAGAACCGTCCTTGTATGAAGCTCTTCCAAATATATAAAAGCAACCGATACGTCCCCATTTCCCCTTTTCACAGCATAAGCATCGCTTTCACTATGCGAAAAGTCCTCGCTACGGAAATGGGATTGCAGGTGTATAAAAACGAAAGGAACAGCTGTCTCACACTATTTCAAGAAAAACAAACTTCACAACACTTTTTAGGCTGACACCAGTGGAGATGCTATACGTGACCGTATATCAAAAATGCACACGCGGCTGAAGATGGATTGCACTCATTCATTTTTGCCTTTCAGGTGATGTTTGCTCCGTGACCAAACACCATGAACGAACGAAAAACCCCACGATTTATGATTCTTACAAATTGCTTCAATGGATTAGCATATTGGCAAAAATGTAAATATAGCTTATAAGAAAAGCTTTGAACTTGATATGATGTGAAAAATTGCTTACCGTGGTCTCATTTTTATTTTTGGCATTGGAGCATTTGTCATCAGCACAAGACTATCAGATTCCAGGGAGTTCCGCTTCGGTGACGCAGCAATAGCATTAGGTTTCTGAAAAGAATACAATTTGCTTTGCAAAGAAAACCTTTCCAAGTTTTCCAGGACTAGATCAACCAAAGAAGTAGGAGCCAATCTTGATTTAGATCTTTCGAAAACATTTTTGCATCTATGATAGCCTAGATAAGAGCCTTAACTTCTTTTTCCATTCCAAATGCGATTCACTTAATTGAGATTGTCCATACTTTCCAAACTCTACTGCTAATTAGTTTTAACCTCTGATTCAACTGGCTTTATGACCTAATTAAAGCCGTTCGCGCCCGCGATGCAATCTGCGTCTCTCCCTCATGCGTGCTCTCCGACCATTGTCTAGCTAATTAAATCACGAGGCCCCGCCTTCCAGCCGCCAAGCCAGTTGAACCAAGGGTACGTTTAGTAAAATAAGCAAATGTTCCAATTAAGTATCAATTTGTATATTTAGCGTTTCACAACAAAAAAAAAGCACAATACGTAAATACTAAAAATTATGCGCAATGGTTCAGAGAAAATTGCATGTTTTGGCACTTGCAAGGTCATCAAAAAAGGAAACAAAAAATTGAACAGATCTCATTTACTGGGTCTTTTCTTCTGTGAAATCGTTTTCATGGGTCAGACTCATATAATCCTTATCTTCAATATCTATTACCTCTTCACCCGGATCCGATGGTGCCGGACTGGTTGACGCCGAACTTATCTGTTGTGTACAGTCTCGAGGTAAAATGTTGGTATCATCAGCGCTAACATTTAGAATGTCAGAATAAGGTCGCCGGCTCGTGTTAGTTTCTAGAAGTCAAAATAAAAAAAAAAGGAATAAAAATCTCATTATTTGATTCCTCAAAAAGCTTACCCTTTTTGGCGTCTGATCTTCCTCTTCTCATCACAACGCTTTTAGCCTCTAGGATTTTTGAGATACTAGACATCAGGCATTCCCACTTCGTAGATGGCATTCTAGGATTTTCAGCCAACATGTGAAGAAGCTGGTACTAAAACCTTTAAAATTTACTAACAAGGTAAGAAAAAGCAGGTAGATTTGCATTTCTACTCCAATAGTCTCTCAATAATCTCACCTTTCTCAGCACTTCGCTACCATTTTCTGAATTATCGAACCATTCGAACAGCAAATCTATGGCTGATCGGCGGTCCAGCGTTTCCTTTGGTGGCTCTAAAAAACGAACATTTGAAGAATTTGCAAATGAAACAATAAATCAGTCGATCCACATAACTAAAAAATAAATGAGAAAGTAAAATGAAAAATTAGCGTTGCGCATTTGATTAAATCACGTAAACCGGTACAAGTAGCGCAATTAACTTTTTTAATCGATAAAGAAACTACGATTTCGAAAAAAAATTGATAGCTCAACATTTCCTTAATATGGTCAAAACGTCATCGACCTTTGTGCAAGAGCATTTCTTCCAAAAAGAAAAAACTCATGATCTTCAACGGAGCAAGCATCTACTGTGCACAAAAATGCTCATGTACGATGTTGTAAGACAGAAACATAGCGGAAAACGGGGAGCGAAAGTAAATGTTGGAAAGAACTTGTACAGACCGTCTTTTCAAAAATAGGAAAATCAACTTCAACGAGATAAAGCAGGGAACCATAAATACTTATGTGAAAGAGTGAACGAACAATGATGTAAGTGAAGCACTCACATGGATACAGAGATGAAGATCCACTAGTGATTGAGGCAAGAATTCTTTATGAGAAACGAAAAAAAAAGAAAAATTTGGAGTTTTAAATAAGCCGCAACTGGAATACTAAAAAGTGAAAGTAAGACATGACAGAATAAAGTTGCGTTGTTGTTTCCGGAGTACTTTTCCGTGAGAGCAAATCTCACAAATTAGTAGTAATATTATCTTACATCGGAAGAAGGAGAAAATGTGCAAAGATCAAATGAGAAGCCATAAAACAGGTACATGGTTGTCTTGCCGCGTGAGAGAATTAAACTTCCCAATTATACTTATTTGATATTTATTACACCATAATCTGGTCTGAAACTACTCCCGTTCAGCAGAAACGATGTAGTCTCATTCACCCTGGGAGCTACTAAATCCATTCTACAAAGTATTGTTTTCCAAACCTTCATCAAAACATATTTCCTAACTTTATGTAGATAATCCAACTAGCTCACCTTGTATTACCCTATCCCTGTTTTCACACTCCACCAAGCGACGAACTTCACGACCTAGCATCGTATGTTTCGTTCCGGTCACTAGTGCAATTCCTTTGAGCAGGCCCAAGGCTGAAAACACTATACTCGTTTTCGAGTCTCAAATCATGACTAGAGTTTGTCCCATATACTCAATGGATATCATGACCCATTACTCAATGAGCGCAAAATTCCTTAGAAGACACTTACACATCAAATCATTTCTCATGCATGTTCGTGATAGGAACGCGGTGTTACTTTCAATCATTTTGTTAATGAGGCTGAGATCCAGTGCACGTTGTTCTTCGTTCGTATTTGGATCGCAAAACGATGACACTACTTCTCGAAGTGATCGATGATCATTCTGGAAAAAAAGATTAAAATGAGAAATGGATTAGTTCTGGAGCGTATCCGCTTTGAATCAAAGACAATAAGAAAGTTTGAAACTAAAATCTTTGTGATGAATGCCGAACGATTTTCTAATACATTTTCCATTTTGATACTGCAGATGCAGTGAAAATGCATTCTTTTTTAGGAGCAATACTATGGTTTTTTCTATTGCAATGCTAATTTGAACTTTTCTTTCAGAAAAAAGTTTTTGGAGAAATTTAATTCAGAGAAAAAAAAACAGATGCAGAAACAAGCCACTACAGTTTTTTGTGCAGCATTATGGAGAGATGATGAAGAAGCTCACAGGTAAGCTACGTTTAACTACGTCTGCTGAAATTGTCAGCATCCACAGATTTGGTAGGTGTACTGTAAAACAGCCGATGAACTGGTAAGGGTGTGTACTGCACTCGGCAAGACATCAGGTAAGTTTTGATCGTCTGTTAGCAATTTGTGCCTTACTTCGTTTCGAATTTAAAGGCAGCGTCCAGGCAAGACCCATCCACCCAGATTAGCACAGAGTTGTAAAGAGGGGCCCATGAGTATCCGATCTGCTTGGTCCAATCCTTTGATGTGCCCTCTAAAAGGAGATACGGGCCTGTGATACGTATCACAAACCATCCCTTCGTATCACAAACCACCCCTGAGGACGAGTGCTCACGCAGGTGTGCAGTTGCATTGCAGTTGCACTGCACACTGCAATGCAACAGCATCCGTGCAGTGCAGCTCCTCAAGCTGGCATGTGATGGGGACGAGCAATCCGAAACTCGTCCGCTCCTTGAAGAGAGGGTCCCCAGGAATCGGGTTTTTTGGGGGTTTTGAACAATTTGAACTTCACAACTGTAATCAGGGCCACGGAAAGGCCCCAGAATGGCGGAAACATGGGAGGCGAAATTTTGCCCGGACGCTGCCTTTAAGCATTACTGTAGGTACATTGTAGTAGAAACGACCTGTATATTGCCTACAGAGCGTACTGTTCTCAAGATACTATGATATGAAAGACTGTAGATAAGTAGAACTACTAGGTTAAACGAAAATATCCGCGAATTCAAAGTTTGTTACTGTAAGTAGACTGTATTATTGTATTTGATACAACTTGATACAACTAACCAACCATAAAATGGCTATGGTAAGTCCGTTGTATTTAAAAAGGTGCGCCACTGGAATCTTCAAATTCAGTGAAATATTATTGCTTACCAAACATGTCGACTTATGTGCTCAAGCAAAGTCATTGAATAGCCATGATCTACAGCATCCTACCGTAACTTTGACTAATTAACAAAAAGATATCAAATACAATACAACTTTAAATCTTCCCGAAAATGCATTTGCTTTGAAATATTCGCCTAGTCCCTCCCTCAAGCGTGAGATACCCAAGAAAAAAAAATCACTATCAACAAACCTCAACTCGAATATCCGGCAGGATTTTTACAGGATCCCGTGAGCCTCGTCTTTTTCGCTCGACTTCTCTTCCATTACGAGAGTGGTAATTTTCGTTCATGGTGGTCTTCATTTCGGGAAGTGCTTCTTCCCCAAATACTAGTGTCCTTGTATCCATTACATCCGAATCGGCACTTATGGACGATGAACAATCTTCTTCGTCGTTGGCAGTGTGATAGGCTAGACCGCTGCTGGCGATACTGTTTATTGACTGAAAAAAAAAACGTAAATTGAGATATTTAAAAAATAGAATTAGTGAAGAAGAGGAAGAGGAGTAGGAAAAGGAATTGTAATAAAATCGGAAACGACCATTTCATTAAATTTATCTCTTATATACAGTTTGAAAAAGCAAAGATGAAATAAACTAGATTTTGCAGGCACACACTAGCTGTCGCACCGAGCTACAGAGCCATTCAATCACTAGCTCCATAAAATCAGAGGTTAACGGTTTATCATGACTTATAATAACGGGCTAAGGGTGTTTATGTGACTTTGTGTGTGTGTTTGTGTGTCTGTTACGAAATTCGTGGAGCGCGTTTCAGCCAATCTCCTGGGCTCAAATTTTGCACAGAGCATGCTACCCGCATAAAAGTCCAATACGCAAAAGCACGAGCAGATTCGTTGAGTTGATCCCTCAGAAATTGCGCACCAAACGGGTCCACCTGGCTTCTGTACCGCAAAATTCGGTCCGTATCACCACTTTTTGCAGAGTCGTAGATGAGTTTGGTAAAGCAAATGTGCAAGCGATGGAGTTTAGCCAGAAAAGTGGTCGAAAGTTTACTACATAACGAAAACGGCGCCAAAATGAATTGGTTGTGTAAATGGTCAACTTGCCAAGGTTCTAGCTAAGCGTTTGAGAAGATTTTCGCACAGAGATGTAGCTCACGGTTACTATTACCTTTATGGCGACTACCAAACCATGACAAATCCAAAAACCTATTCAAATTTGCGTTTGCCTTCCTACGAAAAGTTTCATCCACTCGAAATCACCGATCTCACTTGAAAAGACTCTCTAAATGAGTGGTTGTTTACATTTTATTCGTGGTAGTCGGCATAGCGCGGTGAGTTCCAGTGCCACGATTTTACGAGAATGAGTAAGGCACATAGATAGTAGAGCCAGTGCGAACCTCTGCGAAGCAGAGGTGACGCACTGGTTTAGCAATAACCAGAAACATTTTAAAGTTTAGCGCCCAGAAGTTAAACAGCAGCGATCTTGCAAAATTCGGGAAAATAAAAATTCGTAAACCGTGATTTTACGAAACGTCCGCTTTTTCTCAATGTGAAGCTTTTGCAGATGATGGCAGCTAATTACACAGATGAGTAAGTTGTAGAGAATTTTTCCCCATCATCGTACTGATCCATAAGCCTTGCGCTAAATATGAGGAAAAAAGTCATTTTAAAAATATTAGGTTGTAACAAAATTAATGCAGGTTTTGAATTCCAACCGCAATAAGTCATACACCTCTCATTTCTAAATAGGGTGCAGAGTACCATTCGATAGAGCAAAGCAATCTCTACAAGGTGGCAATCTTGCTTTAGCAAAAACTCTGGTTCAACACGAGTTTCGAGCCAAAAACGAAAAAGATTCAACTGTCCGAAAAATTGAAAAAAATCGTAACTCAGTTCCTAAAAAACCCACAAAAATTTTAACTTGCTCACGTAAACACTATTCACATAAGACATCTATATACGCCTTTGCCGTATTTTTTTCTCTGTTAGAAAACAAGTAAACGGTTTCGTGCATTTGCCAAAGTGTTGCTGTGCCGTTCCCACATAAGTAGTTGTATACTACAAATCTGTAGAAGTACAAACGTAAATTTTCAGCTCTCTACAAGCTTTAGTTCTCGAGAAATTTGAATTTTAGCTTGGACCATCTGACTAGGGAAAGCTGTAATCGATATAACTCGAGAACTAAAGCTTGTAGAGAGCTGAAAATTTGCGTTAGTACTTCTACAGGTCTGTAGTATACAGCTACCTATGTGGAAAGGGCACATCATCACTTTGACAAACGCACGAAAATTTCCGTTTTCTTGATTTTTAACGGAGAAAAAAATACGGCAAAGGTGTATATAGATGTCTTATGAGAATAGTGTTTACGTGAGCAAGTTAAAATTTTTGTAGGTTTTTTACGGACTGAGTTACGATTTTTCTCAATTTTTCGGACAGCTGAATCTTTTTAGTTTTTGGCTCGAAACTCGTGGTGGACCAAAGTTGTTGCTAAAGCAAGATTGTCACCTTGTAGAGATTGCTTTGCTCTATCGAATGGTGTTTTGCAATCTACTTAGAAATGAGAAGTGTACGACTTATTGCGGTTGGAATTCAAAACCTGCATTGATTCTGTTACAACCTAATATATGAAAAAGTCATTTTAAAAGTAATGGGTTTAACAGTATAAAACTGGATTTATGTTCTAAATGATGTGTGCATTCCACTGTATACATTGCTCAATTCATAAAAATTGAAGAGTTGAATGATACATTTAAAAACCAAGCCAATTCGTGAAAATATCCACTGAGCACAGATACTTTTGGCTAAAACAGTAGGTCATGGAGAAGTACCAAAATGAATCAATAGACCTTTCAAATTTATTGAACGAGTCAAGAAATACGATAATGTTTCTCTGATCACCATGGACAGTGACATTATACGAAACAATTTTTGTTTCACAGACTAGAATGAAGAAAATTCCCGTTTTCTAGAATACAAAAACATCCTTTGAGACTAAAGAATCTAGTTTTCAAAATTTTAAAGCAAAACTTACAGGTTCCAAGTACTCCAGAATATGCTTTTTCAAAAAGCCTCGAGCCCAGGTGTGCTTCGAAAAGCTCAAAATTTGCAATGTTAGCTAAGAGATGACCAAAATTGTCAAAGATAGGCTAGTTCACCATAGCAGATGTTGGTTTCGAGCATCAAAACTGTCTGATGACAACTTCTTCTTTGAATCATAATCGTCACTCAGATTTACTGCAATTCGCAAGTGCATAACTTTAGTCAAAAACCAATGGTCAAGTAGATTTCATCTTATATATAAAGCTGAATGTCTGTTTGTCTGTATGTCTGTCTGTCTGTCTGTCTGTCTGTCTGTCTGTGTGTACGTATGTTCCGAATAGAAAATTCCATTTCTGAACCGATCCGGACCAAACTTGGCACACATACACTACGGGCCCCGGCGGGTGTCATAGGCTACTTTTCGTCATCGATCGATATCGATTTTATCGATTTTTATCGATTTTTTTGCTGAGTTCACCTACGGGGCTGGGAGTTGGCACAGGGGGGTAATCGAGCATGGGGATTCCGAATACAATATTGGTTTTCAGGATTATCGATTACTTTTATCGATTTTATCGATTTTTTTGCAAAGTTTGAGCTACGGGGCTGGGAGTTGGCACAGGGGGGTAATCGAGCATGGGGATTCCGAATACAATATTGGTTTTCAGGATTATCGATTACTTTTATCGATTTTATCGATTTTTTTGCAAAGTTTGAGCTACGGGGCTGGGAGTTGGCACAGGGGGGTAATCGAGCATGGGGATTCCGAATACAATATTGGTTTTCAGGATTATCGATTACTTTTATCGATTTTATCGATTTTTTTGCAAAGTTTGAGCTACGGGGCTGGGAGTTGGCACAGGGGGGTAATCGAGCATGGGGATTCCGAATACAATATTGGTTTTCAGGATTATCGATTACTTTTATCGATTTTATCGATTTTTTTGCAAAGTTTGAGCTAGGGGGCTGGGAGTTGGCAAAGGGGGGTAGTCGAGCATGCTGATCATCCCCAAGGGGGGTGATCAGCATGCTCGAACACCCCTGTGCCAAATTCCAGCCCCCTAGCTCAAATTTTCAAAAAATCGATAAAATCGATAAAAGTAATGGACGATCTTGAAAACTAATATTGTATTCGTAATCTGCATGCTCGATTACCCTCTGTGCAAACTCCCAGCCCCGCAGGTCAAACTTTGCAAAAAAATCGATAAAATCGATAAAAGTAATGGACGATCCTGAAAACTAATATTGTATTCGGAATCCCCATGCTCACTTCCCCCCTGTGCCAACTCCTAGCCCTGTAGGTGAACTCTGCCAAAAAATCGATAAAATCAATAAAAGCAATCGATAATTCTGAAAACTAATATTGTATTCGGAATCCCCATGCTCACTTCCCCCCTGTGCCAACTCCTAGCCCTGTAGGTGAACTTTGCCAAAAAATCGATAAAAATCGGTAAAATCGACATCGATCGATAACGAAAAGTGGACTGTGACACCCACCGGGGCCCGAAGTGTATGTGTGCCAAGTTTGGTCCGGATACGGCGGAGCCGGGTAAGCCAGCTAGTCCTTTATATGATGTGCTTGCGGTGCCGACAAAATGCTGTAAGACCTGCGCGTGAACAGATAGAATAAACCTGTGACGCCGGCCACTTGCGCGCGCAAAATGCCGGCATTGCTGGCGTGGCTATTTGTTTACGCGCAAATTTTACCGGTTTTCTCGACACCGCAAACACACCATATCAAGCCGAAAATTTACACGACTCTAGATAAAGTTAGGCTTCTCATGGCTATGTAGACAACTTACAGAAAGCCCTTCGAAAGGACAGCAAATCTTTCAACAATTCGGGTTCCAGCTAACTTACTCAGTTTGATTCTCAACGATTACAACCATATGCTGGGTATGCTTTGCTTTTATTGTTGTGAATAAAGTGCTAAGACACGCGCCAAGCTTGATCCACTTGAACCAGTTCACCATCAGTGAGCTGACCAATAGCGAATTGGATCAAGTGGATCAAGTGAGCATCTGCTTCGCTAGTGGTCAGTTCACTGATTTAACTAGCGAAGGGGAAGGAGTGGATGAAGTGGATGAAGTGGATATTTATGGCACGTGTCTAACGTATGCAAGGACATAAATAAGTTGGAACATTCAAAACAATTCCTCGTACCGTTAGAATTGAGATGACAGCATAGAAAAAATATGTAAGAAGCCAATGCATATTTATTCTGTGACTGCACATGAAATTTGGATCCGTCTATTTTATTCACGCATTACTGCAAAATCCTCTAACTCGATTTCACGCACACGTCACTTAGAGTACATACTTTGATGCTCGCATTGGCACATCTGCAAAACATTTAGGATCCACTTGCACTACTTCATGCACTTTTCACATAATCTACTCAAAAATTTTGTATGGCCCACTCGTTTGATACATGATCATCTTCTTTTCAAAAGATGACACATTGTTGACCTGTAGGCAAATACATCTGCATTTGCATGTAGACTAGATTATGTAAATTCTAGTGTTATGGTCATGAAAAATTGACAGAAAATCATCCAATACCGAAAAATTGAAATGAAAAACATGGGAAATAAGGAGCAATATTTCCAGAAACTACTAAATCGTTACATAAAATAATCCCTGTTCATATTGTATCCTAATCCTCTAAAAAACTCAATTCTCGTGGCTTGCGCTCTCATAAAAAATTTAAAATGAAGAAAATGACATAGAATTACAGTAGTCAGCATGCACTGCAAGAAAACGTGGTACCATAACTGATTCACAGACATTTCCCAGAGGAAGGAAAAACGTTGGAAAACTGTGCGCAAAGCGAATAAACACTGACTCATGTTTGTTTTTGTATTTTGTGAAAGCCAATACTAGGCTTTCCATACGCTGTGAAAACGATGACCATGTTAGGCAACCCGATAGAGAGGGAAGATGTTATTCACCCATTATTTATCCTCTAGTAGAATACACCTTATGCGGCATCAAGTCAAGTGGAGTTTTTGTGCAAATACGGTAGCAGTACTGTGATTGCAGTATTTTTGATACTGCACATTAATTCTGAAAATGTGGAGTCTATTAACACATTCACGACAATACGACCCACCGGCGGGTCCTAAGTGTTCTGCCATTTCGGACAATACGACCCACCGGTGGATCGTAAGATCCCTGAAGCTCTAGCTCTGCCAGTATTCAATGAAATTCTACGGGGTTCTAGCACATGATTAGGGACACCTTGGCGAAGCTCCAGCCGGAGTGGTCCGGGTTCGGAATAGTGTAAAGTAATGTTGCGGTAGGTATACGGTAGATATAGGTAAAGCGCAGCCTTTAGCTCAAATTCTTCGCAGAGTGGTGCTGTTTTTGAAAAATCAAGTTTGCATGCATGAGAAATACAGGGAGGGCACGAGACTGATGTCAGCCCATCAAAATTATCGATTTTATTGATTTTATTGATTTTCGCATTGTTCATCCCAGAAGCCCAAACCTCAAATATATAGGTTTTTTAGAATGCTGATTACGAAAATGATAGTCTCAAGTTCTAATACCGCTTTTTTAGATCAGTTTCTTCATTCTTACGAAAATTTAATCGTACTGCTACCGTAGTCCCACTGTAGGAAAGTAGTGAACAATGGACACTATAATCGTAAATAGCACGTGAAATAACCTCAAAACACAATTTCTCATGAAAATCCATGATGTCGGGTTCGTACAGAATGACTACAGTAGCCTTACCGTATACTGCAAAACTGAAATGGATCATATTTTAGCCAGCGCCTCCGATAACCCTTGTGGGGAAATTCTCGGAGACATTTTTTAAATTTTTTCCAAAAAGACTACCATTTCGGACAATACGACCTACGGGTGGGTCGTAAATTTGACAAAGCGAAAAAGGCTCTGTTCCAAAACGGCAGTAATCGAAAAATTGGCCTTGAATGAATGTGAATGTGTTAACAGACATGCTGCAAAATTCTCCCAGCAATTCTTAGAAAATTACGGTAGGCATACTGTAGCTATTCATTACAATCATTTTCGCCTTAGCATTGCACAGTATGCTAAACAACTGCAAGGAAGAAAAACCACAAAGAACTGAGTTCTTCTTAGATCAGGAAACTAGGTAAATTTGTTTTTTTTGGTGATTTCAATCGTGAGCCAATGAATCAACTACGGTAGGCATACTTTAATTTAAAATTACGTAAACTCTGCTTTAGAATGGCTTTTTCTCGGCAATTTTTCGAGAACTTATGAAGGTTTTCTATACTCGCAAATGAGTACGGTCATCAGTTTTTCAAATACAATACCGAAATTTCCATAAACAAATATTTACCTTTATGTCTTCCTCGACAATCATATTGTCCACATTATTCGGTTTTGATTCACTAAGTGCTTTATCTGTGCTTTCTCCGCTTTTGATCACGCAAACCGAAGATGATACCAATGCGGATTCTGAAAAAACAACAAAGTGATAAACGCTTGCAGCGAACAAAGACAAACACTAGGGACTCTAACAAATCATTTCTCCTAGGGGGGCTGGTCATCAAAATTGATGAGTTTTTCTTCCACGCTCTGGAGCGTGAAGGTCTTTTTACAATCGAACAAAAAAAAAACGAAAACGAACTTCTCCATAGTCATTAAATCACCACTATTCACGATGTCTTGCACATTAATTATTAACTTGCTGCTAAAGTCCTTGCGTAATTTAAAGAAAAAATTAATAACTTTTTAAAGGCTAAACCTAAACAAGACTCTGTATACAAAAGAAAGAGGTTTGCACTTTATGAGAGTTTTCTGAAGGCAGCTTCTTGTTGGCTATAATGAGAGAAAAAGCTTTTAAAAATTCTTTCATGACTCCTAGTTTGATCACAAACCACTATATAGTAAAAATTGATAAGATGGGTTCTTTACGTATGTTTCGCCTTTTTGTTTTTCAAAGTTTTTTGCTAGTTCAGAAAAATTTGTAAAAAATTTAAAAACAAAAGACTTTTTTCAAATTTAAAAACAATAGACCATGCAGCACTTTCATCTAGCATGACAAAAAAAAACACGAAACAAAAAGTCGTAAAAAAGGTCATTTTGCAAAAAAAAATCCCTAGTAGTGCACTTTTTCAGCAAAAACACAATTTATCGCACTTAAAAAAGCATGTCACAGCGCATTAGATAAACAATGAGTCAAATTCCTGGTCTCGATTTGTACTTTTGAGAAGATGCGGTAGTTAGGGGATTTCTTCTGCAGAATGATTTTTTCTGAAAATTTTTTGTCGCTACATTTTCACATTAAAACCTGCCAATGTTTTATGGACTACTGCTATGTAAAAAATCACAAGCGCTGCTGTAGCTAGCTAGAATCACGGAAGGAAGTTCTTTAAACCTTGTTTCTCCAAAGCTAGCCAAAAAGGTACTCCTAGGTGACTGCGGTGAAGCATAAGCCTTCCTTCATTTTTGGATGCAAAACTATTGAATTAGGTTTATGGATTGAAATTTATTGATTTGAATAATGTAACAAGTTTTGCACCAACTCAATATTACTAACCTTTACCAAATTCTTTTTACATGAAGTTAGGGTAGGAGTGGGGGATGGGGAGGGGGAGCAATACGGCGAAAACCTACTCGTACAAATCTAACCTTTTACAAGGATATGTTTCAGCGTACGCTTGTTATCGAAAGGAAAACAATTGAAATGTGGAAAATGTCATTTTGCCTTCGTAATGTCTCTGTACAGTTCCCGTTCGCAAGATGGGCAAAACTAGATAGGGATATCAAATGTCATGGCAATCACTGTAAGCGCACACAAATGCGCGATTTTCTTAGGAAAACAATGAAAAAGCTCTTGCAGCTTTCATTTTCTAGTTCCAAACTTGCACTATTCTACATTGTCCCCGAAACACCTGCAAGACGGGAAAATTCCCAAGTGTTCAAAAGGGATAAATGTCACAACAATTGCCCTAGCGATAGTTCTTCTCTACACCAAAAAATCACATCTAGGGCTATCCTTTCAGAAATATGATTTTCTAGTTTTTGACGTAACCTATCGTCAGGACAATCACAGTGAAACTTTGTTTCTTTGAGCTATCAAATCTCTCAAGAGCTCCTTTATCATTAATCCCAAATTTCTATTGAATAAAAAATCAAACAAATTTTTAAAAGCCAACTTCAAAGCATCAGATCATAGTGCTGTAATCAAGTCTTTCGCAAAGATGAAAATCTGCGTCATAGTAGAAGATATCACGGGACTCAACGACTCAAAAAAGATCGTTTAAAATGCATAGTCAGACTAAAAAAACTCAAAAGTACCGATTCCTTGTAAAATGAATTCCCACAAACGAGCATTCCTGGACTGACATAAACCCTTAACTTTTCAATCACTCTCTGGCAAAAGGTTCTACATCTACAATTTCACAAAGTGGCCATAAAAGAAAGTGTGAAGCTAAAATGACATGACAGCTAGTCATGCGCGTCGAGCCAAACACTTGCATGGGAGAAAATGGAAAAGACACTCCGAAAAGGGCGTGGCGTAAAATGAGATTTTGGATTTTTTTCAGCAGCCAAAAATCAAATAATTTTAAAGGAGCAAAAGAGATTAACGAGGGAACAAGCTCAAAAAAAGATAAAAGGCATCAGCTTGAGTAAGAAAAATTTTTTAAAGATAATAACCAAGTCGCATAACCTTGTCACTAGGTGATCATTGATTTATCTAAATAACCAATATTTTAATGTGCATTAAAAAAATTTTCTATCAATATTTTGCTGATCTATTTTCTGTTGAGTATTGGAGCAATATCGCTGAGTTACTTCCTAAATTTTTTCACAGTTCTCAGCAACTCAATAAAAAATAATCCTCGACCTGTCAAAAAATCCAACATAAACTTGAGCGATGAAGCGAGCATCGCGTTATCTCTATAGACTCTCGTCACCAGCCCTATTCCGTTCAGTCAGTGTCTGATCTGTCGGGTAAAAGAAGTAAGAATAGCGCGATCAAAGAAGAGACATGACGATCAGCCGTTCACAAACCAAAGTCGAACAAATATGGGAGCAGAAGTGAACCACTATGCGGATGGGAATGGAAAAAATGGCAGAAAAAATGGCGTAAAAATCATAGTCATACGGGAGGAAGAGCATTCCGAAAAGGTTTTTTTATCAAGAGAAAACATCTAGAAATCACGAAAGACCATTAACGTCCAAAACTGATACCCCGATGAGTTCATAAAAGGTTTGCATGTTTGCATAGCATAGCAACAGCTGTTTCCAAAACCCCAGATGGTGCGGAGGTTTGAATAGAATTACGAAGACAATTTCCCTACAAGGAAGTTCGACCAGCTTCTCAGGAAAAACGACAATTTCTACATCTCATGACTACATTTCTCCTAGAAACGCAATGAATTCTCGAAGAAACTTGTAAGAAGCAAGCGAAAATGAGATTTCGATGAAGTTAGCGGAAAAGGAAAAGAAAGTATGACAGAAAAGCAATTTCAACACTGCATGTTCCAGACTCATCAAATGTTCGCACATTTGATGAGTCTGGAACATGCAAATCCAACAAAATTTTGAAGAGGAAACCTCAAAAAGGAGATAATTCAAAACGCAGGTTAAGAAACGAAAGAAACAAGAAAAGAGAAGATTGGGAAACAAAAGCCAAAATCAATACATTATGAGAGCATGCAAAACAGAAATCTGATTTCTACTCAAATCTATTCCTTCTATCTATTCCTTCCAATAAAAGTAATTAGAAGGCCTGAACTTTTGATTTATTAGGTTGGCTCGAAAGTTCTGGGACATCGGATTTAGACAGAGTTTTTGTTTGGATATAGGCAATAATTGGGGCATGCTGCATACCGTTAAATAGAGGAAAGCAATCTCTACAGAACTATGGTAAGCAGAAGCAACATCAATGTTTCCTGTGAAGATTCGGGCGAAAATTTCAAAACATAGGATTTTGACCTAACCCAGATTTCCAGCTTCTATAAAAGTTTTGAAATCCCTGCATGCTCCAATTTATAGTACAAACCTACTTATATACTTACAATCACAGTTTGTGCGGAACTTGACCTTAAACAACAAGAAAATTGAGGTGATTGAAAAGTGGCAAACTCCGCCCCCTTTGGTCCTAAGCTCCTCCCAATTGCTTAGATATCAGCTACGGGCAAGGGGGAGTACAACCGCAAATTTTCGAGGATGTAAATGCATTGGGTTTCGAAAAATAGCAAATTTAGTCCGAAAATGTCCCAGAACTTTCGAGCCAACCTAATACATGAAGGCTTCGCTCAAGCAAGGAGTTATAAAGGGCTACTACGTCTTTAGTCTGAGAAAATTAAATAGAAAGGATATGGAAGAGAAATGAGGAAAAATTTTAAACGATGGTGATCAAGTGACTCTATCTTTCATGGATACGCCATTATTTCAAAAAAGGAAGGGATTTGGAAAAGAACCGAGGGAGAAAAAATTTTAATGCATCTGAACGACTAAATGTCTCTTGACTACGTCAGTATACTAATGATTTCAAGGAAAAGATACTGAAAGGGAACCGAAGGAGGGGGAATCTCAAAGCAGCTGATTGACTGACTGTATCTGATACCTTTTTATTTTCAAAATTACTTAGTCAACAGCTAATTCATTCTAATTCTACTTACCGTTAAATTGCCAAATTGATTTCAATTTTTGCACAATTTCTTGCAGTTTCCTCTTCAAAAAATACCAGGAACAACGCAGAAAACAAAACTGTCGGCAGCACATTCTAACTATAGACTTAGCAGCAAATATCTTACATTCAGAATATAATTATGGCAGAAATAGATACTGTGATTCGAATATTCACATTTTAAAGTATATTCCATTATCAAACACTTAGCTAAAGTAAAGTTTCAATCTATTTTTGTGCTTTCTTTGCTTTTAACGATTAAAATGCAGCAGCAAAAAAGCGAAAAAGAGGTTCTAAATATAGAAGATTTTCAAGTTAGGGAGAAAAGAGGAATTTACATATCAAATTGAATCTATATTTTGGTGAACTCTCAAAATATATTGAAAAAATCTTCATACACATCGCGTATGCAAGCATACTGATCCTAAAGTTATTCAACAATTTGTTTCCAAATTTTTGGTTTCTGTTCAGAAAAAAATTTTTTTTGATGGCATTCAAGTTGATCTGACATGAATATACATCCATCATACAGTCTAATAAAATGAAAAAGAGAGAATGAAGACCAAGACGAAAATTTTTCGAGCAAAACGAGACCAAATCGATCAATCGATAACAGATCAAAGTAAACAATATTTTGGCATTGTCCACACAAGTTCCATTCATACTATCAACATATTCCACGCGCACAGTTCTCTCGCTATTGAATATTCTGCAGACCATACGATCTGACTGTTTTGCATTTCTCACAAACAACTAGCCGTTCGCAGCCCAGTTCCCGCATTATTGCAAAGAATAACGTTTCTCACATTCAGTC